CTGGCCCAGAGCTGTCTCCATACCATTGCCGGTAGACCGTCTTCCCCGGGCGCCTTTCCATGGCTTAGCGGACAGGACCTTTTGTTCTATCTCCTCCATTGTTAGGTCAGGCATGCGTGCTACCGGGCGCTCCGTTGAGGTCGTTGGCCCTCGTCTTCGATTCTCGCTGGCAAAGGTGGGAGAGAAGGCCGGTGAGTAACTCCTGCGCTTGTTCTGCTTTACTCCTCCGTGATGGAGCCATCGGGTCGGACGAGCGGGGGTATCTTATCGCCCATCGTGCCGCTGCCGGGTTTGCAGATACTTCGTTGCTTGCCAGATGTTAGCGTCATCGGCCAGGAAGTCGTTCCAATGCGAACTCTTCTGTCTGCGGATGGCGTCGTGGTACTCTTTGGCTGCCATCCTGGCTCGTTGTTCGAGCTCTGGGTGCTGTTTGCCCAATCCTACGTCGAGATCTCGCCTGGTTTCTCCAAAACGTGTATGTCTGGCGAAGCCGTGTCAGGTCTGTTGTCCACCACCGCTTGGCGTATGGTGAGGGCTTGGGCTTTAGGTGTCAGGCCGTAGACCGCCTCGGGTTACCGCTGCCATGAGCCTGTCCGTCTGCTGCTGGACATTGCCGTCCCAGGGGATGCGTTCGAGGTTTGCTGCCACCCTAGTCCTAATTTCCGCCCAGGGCGCGTTCTTGAAGAGGAACCTCGTCTCACTGGGACGGTCCCTCCACCGTGGTGTCAAAAGCTGTCTCGATTGCTCTGTGGTCTGAGCCATGGTCGCAGGGGTGAATCGTGCATCTGAGTAGTTGGTCTGCTAGTTCTGCAGAGGCCAGTACCAGGTCGATTGTGCTCTCAATGTCGCCTGACTGCCACGTCTTCGTGCCTCTTGGGAGGAGGCTGCAGAGGGAGTGTTCGTCCATGAGGTTGATGATGCGGTCTCCCTCGCCTTGTCTCCGTGGTGAGACATCGTCCCCTCCCCAAAGCTGGTCGTGGCGGTTGAAATCGCCCGCCAGGATGATATCCGTTCTCGTCCCTGTTCCGTTTCGAAACCTCCTAATCAGTCGGTCAATTTCCCTCATTGCATCTTCCAGTGCTTCGTCACTACCACCCTCCACATACACTGACACCATCAGCACTGCCCGATCTGGGAGCCGAATGCGTGCTGACGGTGAGGTCTGCCGACGGCACTGGAATCTGCTCGACCTCTATATCGCTTCGTACCCATAGCATGCTCCGAATTGGCCACGTGGTTTCTCGTCTTGTCGTTGGTATAAGCTTCGTCCAGTTGTGATGACTCATTGGGACCGTCGTCACCGAGCCTTCGATCAGCCTGGCATATGGTTCGGAGATGGCCAGCACTGCGAAGTCCTTGAGTCCCTCGTCGTTTAGCAGACTCTGCTGCACTTCTCTCCGTTTGCGGACGTTGAGCTGAAGGATCTTAAGCGTCTTGGGCCCCATTGTTCAACCAGCGTACCCGACAGTTCTTGCTAAATGACTCGTGTGGTCCTCTGCATAGCACGCACTTCAGGACCACGGACTGACACGTCTTGTGGTGGTGACCCTGTTCCGCACACCTTCCGCATCTTTGCGGCTTTTTGCAGGCGAAGGCCTTATGGCCGATCTCCTGGCATCTGTAGCACTGGATTGGGCCTTCCCGGGGCGCGAAAACGGTCGTGTAAGCGGATTCTCCGGCGAGATGGAAGTAACGCTCGTCTAGAAGTCGCCTTGCTTCGCTGCCCTTCGTCACGTAGACAACCATCGAGCCGTAGGCCTTGCTTGTATCCTTCCTGCTGAGCCAGGCAATCTTCGCAATGTTGACGTCGTTCTCTGTCCCTAGCGCCTCTGCGGCTCCCGGCAGGATGTTTCCGTCCGCATCGAGGACCGCTGTTCGGTTGGCATTGTCTACCCTCACCGGGTACAACTGGTCTCTCAATACCCGCACTCCAGGAACACTGATCTTCACTGCCGCTTCCTTGACGAGCTGGACCTCGCCTTCGTCCCTGCAGATTACTCTGACTCGGTCCGGGTTTCGGGCCTCCTTCACAACCGCAGCGCAACGCCAGTCTCCCATGCTTTCCTGTGCCCTGGCCTCTGTCTCGATTGCCTTTCTAATGTCCGCCACCTGGACGTTTCCCTTCTCTTTCTCCTCCACCCTAGATGTATCGATCGTACAGAACAACGTGTCGGTAAAGGATGAAGGCGTCGTGTTTCGCGAGGAGAGGGTGCGCACACCGCTTGGCTGGCTTGATGGTGGGGTGCGAGCGACTTCGGCGTATGACCCTCTTGCGCTTGGTTGGGACGAAGCCATGGCTACCGGGTGGCGTTGAAGGGTATCAATCTGATCCCGCGCTTGTCTCAGTTCTTCAGAAAGCTGGGTCCTGGTGTCTGCAAGTTGGCGATGTAGTTCTTGAATCGCGTCGTGCTGCTTGCAAATCACCTCGCGTAGTTCGCCAATCGTGTTTCGCTGCTCGGTAATCATTCGGTACATTTCGTCTCGTTGTTCGTTGATCGCCTCCAGGAGCATCTGTATACCTGACTTCCCCGTCTCGATCCGGCTGTTGGCTCCATATAAAATCCCAGACGCGCGTGCTCCTCGCGTCGTAACCGCCCGCGTGGTCTCGCTCGCCGCTCTCCTCGACGTGGTAGCCACGTCCTCGAGCGATTGCATGGCTTCGCGAGCTTTCGCGCTCGGTTTCAACGCGCGGCTCGGTCGTCTCGGCGAAGGTGGTTGGTCGGCCACCTCGACCACGATTTGGGGCTGCGCCTCCGCCGCCATCTTGCAGTCCCTCGGCAGTGCCGCCCGACTTTCACAAAAGCTTCCTGGTCTCGATCGCCTCTCGCCGATGAACCTCTCCCTTATTTTTCGAATGCTCGTTCGTCTTTTCGTAAGATCGTCCTGAGCGCCTCGAAGTTGGGCTTGGCAGTGGTGGTGCACGGACGATCTGTTGGGGTCTGTCGGCTGTGGGGCTGGCCCCGGTTTATAAGAGCCAATGAGATGGCGCAGCCCTAGGCAGCTTCACCGGCGACCACGAAAGGACGAGTCGCCGTACCGCTGGAGTGGACGCCTTTGAGGTTGGCGAGCACGTCCGAGAACTGCTTGCCCTGGCTCTTCTGATAATTACCATGAGCGTCTCGAAGTTGGGCTTGGCAACAGAGGTGCACAGACGCTGCGGTCTTTGCTGGCACGCAGCGCTCCGAACAGTTCAATCAATCCAATCCTGGGTCCCCGATTGGATTGGATTGAAGATTTTGAGGTGCGATTGAACTGAACTGTTCCTCAGATTGAACTAAACTGTTTAGTTCAATCTGCCAAGGCCTACCCCCAGGAAGCAGCTGATCCGGTTCCGCTCAGCCCCCCCAAAAAGTCTCCCCAACAGTCACACCACTCCCTGGCGTTCCTCCTGCTCTAGCTATCTAGAATCCGCAGCCAACTATTGATACACTGAAGCATACAAAGGGTTTCCTCGTGCGTGCGGTTTCTCTGATGACCCAGGGCCAACTTCGATGCACTAAAACACCTCTCGCATTCTGTTGAACAGGGTGGAATAGATAACAACTCAAATGCCGTCTTGGAAAGCCGTGGGAAACGGTCACGATTACGCCACCACCATTGATAAGGGGTCTCTTCTAGTGGCAGAACCGGCTCATCGAGGTAGACACTAACCTCATCAACGGATACGCGATCCAGAGGGTCATAGAAGTCATACCCAAACGCCGGGCGATGTGAAGGTCGGTCCCGGGACCCGTTTGATGAATCCGGAGCCGGTCGAGGATAATTGTGGTCGAAGAAAACCCGGAACCGGGCTTGAATGTCGGACGACTTAAGCGGATCATCTGTAAAAAACCGCTCAATCCACCGCATCTTACAGTTCGGAAGTAGTATCATTGCCGCCCAATAAGCTGGGGTGGCGTCCATGATCGCCAGATACTTTTCCAGCTTCTTAATGGCAAGTTTGAGACTCTTTTGGATAAAGGCATACCCAGTATCATCAACTTCATCGTCAATTACCTCCCCAAGTTGAACAACACGCTGTTGAGGGCGTGGCGATGGCGCTGGGTGGGGCTCTGTGGTAGAGGGCCGATATCCAAGTGCTGGGAGGTCAACTTCAAAGTCGTCCAAGTGAGCTGGAGGCCGGATAGTTCGCCCAGACCGCCGTTGACTTGGGGGTTCAATATCTGGGTCTGGGTCTGACGAAAGCGACTGCATCCGACCGGGATTGACAGAGTTTCCCAGGGCCGGCGACGGTGGCCGTATACCAACCCAGGGACCCCCATGGAAACCGTGATGTTGACTAGCTGTTCTGGCATACTGTTGATAGAGTTCGTTGAGGTTCCTGTGCAGGGTGTAGGCATGTGATACGACGTCTGCAAAGTTTGGTTTCCGGCCCTCAAACTTCTTTGTAATGATTTTGAACGGTTCCAAGATGCAACGGATCTCTTTGAGCACCACCCACTCTGAAGGCGTAAGCTGGTCATCGCTCGTGATATTATCTGGATCCTTCTTGGTCACGATGTTGACGAAATAATCCAGAGGATCACGTAACATGATTGCCCGGTCGATCATGTGGTAGACTGAATGCCATCGAGTCTCATTGTCCGAACGCAACTGCAGCTTTGCAATGTCCTTGTCCATTAGAATAGCGCCGAATTCTTGCTGTTCTTCCTCTGTCAACTTGCTCTTAGCGATATCCGAAAACAGATCCCGGCGTTGAGGACTGCGGCGAATGTGATGAACCAGGAAGTGGAGCTTTCCAATAGGGCCAGACTTGCGCCATTCCTGAAGAAGCCTTCCCTCTTCCGCTGCGTTGTGGTGTGCCAGGGATTCCGGTGCCAAGGACTTGATGAGCTTCTTGTTGGTTGCTTGAAGGAAGGCCTTAGCAACAAGGTTCAATATGTGCCCGAAACAACGGACCCGGACCTTGCATTTGAGGGCGATGGCTTGCGCAGGGGAAAGCGTTGGATTGAGGTGTAAAAGGACCCTCGTCATTGCCGTATCGTTGTTATCTGCATTGTCGGTTTGGAAATATCCAAGGCAGGGCTGTAGGTCAAACGTCTTGATGACGTCTAGAACACCAGGTGCAATGTTCTCGCTAGCATGAGTCCCCGTAATCCGTGACAGAGTCAGGAGGTGTGTTTGATAATTGCCAGAGCTCTCAAAGTAATGAACAACGACTGCGAGTAGCGCAAGGTCATGAGAGGAGGTCCACAGATCGAAAGAGAGGTGTTTCTGATGTAGAGAAGCCTTGAGCTTAACCTTGATGGAATCAAGGAGATCGTGATACATACTTGTGAGCCAGCTTCTTGTTGTATCCCCCCCTTTTGGAAGAAGGGCGTCAGTCAATGGAGCGTTGAAGAGCTGTAGTATTTGACGGTAATACTTGTTTTCCACTGCGGCGAACGGAATGTTTGCCGTAGCCATCCAACAAACAAGGAGGTAACGAAAGCGCTCCCCTTGGGTTCTTGGAACCACGACCGTCAACTTTTTGTTCTTGTTGCGGCTCAACATCTCGCTAATACTGTGGTTGGTTGCAGCTCGTTTTCTTGATGTTGTAGCTTGGGGGTCGTTCGAATTCGAGTGAGGTTTATCGTCAAAAATACGGTGTTGTTCTTCGAGATGACTTCGTGCGGCCGAAGTCAATTGAGCATTGAACGTTGTACTACATCGCTTACAAACGAAATGGAAGCTTTTCGCCTTCATCTTGACTGTATAAATAATCGGTTATTATAACGATAAGCGTTGAGGGCGCTGTTGTGAGAAATAAAACTAACCAGTTGGATCGACGACAAGGGCAACGCAAAAGCCGTGTTTCCACACCCAAGAGCGCCTGTCTTGCCGCTTGTCTAGCCAGTTTTCAGGCACGTACTTGAGGTCCTTCTTGCAGGTCACAACAGGCCATTGCTCGGGGACGATTGACGCTGGAGGGTCCTCCCCAAGCGCCTCAGTCTGTTGAACTAGGGAAAGCGCATGGCCAAGCCTCGAAAAGGTGCTGTTTTCGGTGGTGACGACAGGCCCGGTGACGACGGCGGCATTCGTCGGGGATGTGGCAGTAGAGCTCGTGTCTGAGGTAGCCATTGGGCGGTAGGGTTGGACCTGGTCGAAGGGCGGTTGATAATGGCAAGTTCAATCCAACAGCGATTGACCCTGTTTGAAACAACGAGACTGTTATCGATAAATAAGTTCGCCAGTTAACGTTCGTTAACTAGTTATCATATAACGGCAAGTATTGTCGCTTATAACCCTAACCCTGTAAGTTCAATCGAGCTTAGTTCAATCCTGGAGCTGGATCTGGATTGCACTGAGACCCAAAATGGCCGGATTGAATTGGATTGGATTGATTGGATTGAACTACTGAATTGAAAAGATTGAACTGTTCGGAGCGCTGCTGGCACGGGCCTCTGTCCTTCCTCTTCGGTGATCAGTGTCGTTTTTTTCCCTCTTACTGAACCCATGGCTGTTTTCTTTGTTCTCTTCTTGCTTGGATCGGCCGGAGAGGCTGTCTGTCTTCTTTTTTGCTTCCTGCTTGGCTCGGTTGGAGAGGCCGTTTCCCGTTTCTTGGCTCGTTATTCGCCGGAAACAAAACCAGACACTGTCATGATCACAATGAACCTGCTTCTGGCCCGGAGGCCATGAAGACGAAAACGTCCTTCATAGACGTATTACAATATAGCAGCAACTCTGAAAGAGACTTTCCGCGTTAGATTTCCGTCTCGGTCCAGAGGGGCGCGTCCTCTTCGTCGGCGGTTTCAGTGCCCTGGCCAGATTCAGGCATGGCAACCTGCCTGCGAGTGTGGCGAGGGACGAGAGACTGAAACCCGGCTTGCCCCTCCATCTGCCTTCTTTGCCCCGCATTTGGCTCGGGATGGCGACCGTCTTGCTCTTGATTAAAATGGTGCCATTGGGGAGCCCGGGGATGGCGAGGCCCGCGCTGTCGTCTGACTGAAGGAGGACGGCCACCGGCGGTCCAAGATGAAGAATCACATCGCTGGCGAGCGCGATGGTGCCGGCGGCGAGGTCGGGAAAGATGTCGACGGCCTTGAAAGGCGCCCCGTTGACCACCTTTAGCCCGACAAACTGGTTGCGAGTCACCACGACCGGTATGCCTTGGGCGTAGAAGAAGAGGCCGGGGGTCGGCAGTTGCGAGTCGTCTCCGTGGCGGAGCACGTGGCATAGCTCTTGCGTACTCAATCGCTTCCCCGACTCAGTGTCGTGCTTGGCCGCAAAGACTGAGATGTGGAGACCATCCTTCAACCGGAACATATCTTGAATTGCATGAATGACGCGAGATTTGCCCGTGCCGCCCTCGCCGCCGACGTACTGGAAGTGCTGCCGGCCCCCCTCTTCTTGCAGCCGCGTGCCGCGGTCGTCAAGGAACGCTGCTGGTATTAATACCGCCAGCGGCTGGAGCTTGTTTAGGGTCCAGTGTCTGGTGAGCTCCAGGGCTACATCGACGTGTGTTGCATAACGGCCAAGTTCCAGCCGCATCTATCCGCCCGGACCGACCCCGTCTGCTGGCAGTAACCCAACAAAGAAGAGGAAGGAACCAAGCTCTCCCGAACCGGTCAGAAGCAACAGATCCACAGCGGGAAGAAAGAAGGCGCGGCTGTATGACTAAACCCGACATTAATACGAAGAGACCACATTTGCTTGCTTTCGTAATACTCGTCAACTTCAATGCCCGAGCGTCAATCGCAGGACGGCATTTTCTGATGCCACTATCGGCTAACTGCGCCAGCGCGTTCCTCCAGGCTTCCTTTGGCGTGCCCGCGCGCAGCGGGCACGGTCACTCCTGTCGAGGCTATTGTTCCCCTGGCCTTGATAAGTCACACCTAAACACCCCCCTAGCACATACGACCATACCTGCCAGAAAATACGGGATCCCGTCCGCTCTCCCCTAGTCAAACTCGCAAGGGCTGAACTAGTACTCAGGTCGGTGACGACTGGGGAATCCTCAGTGTTGTATGTTTTCTTTTGCTTTTGCCTTGATCGATATTCGATATGGATTGACAGGGATATTGAAAATATTTCACCAACCCTGAGGACGCCCAGCGAGGCGCTGTGCACGCCCGCAACCGACAATACCAGCGACAGCGACAGCGAGATGATGCCGGTGGAGTTGGTGGAGCTGGTGCCGGACGTTGCCGACGGCGGCGTTCCTGGCGGCGGACCCCACGAGCGCCCGGCGCTACGAGTGATATTTGAGGCCGGGATATCCATTGGGGTGGTTGGTGAAGAGTGTGGCGTAGGGGGATATGAGCGATGCGAAATGAGAGTGGCTGCTTGGGTGTATGAGGGATAGGCGGGATGAGGAAGGTCGTTTGTATATGTATGGGTCTGGGCATCTTTAGGTAGGTTTGGGGTTGGGACTGTGGATGTGAAGTCTCTTCCTTGCGTACATCGCAAATGTATTATCCTGTCATTCCAACGGGGACTCCTGTTATAAATCGGTAGAACAACTTCCTGCGATGTTTGTACCTTGCTTCATCATCTCTGGTTTGGCAAGTACTGTCAGTGCCACTTGCTCAGGAAGCGTCGTACAGCACGACCCAAGGACCTCTTTTCTTTGGTCGGCGGTCCGTCGTTCGTCATGAACGCAGTAGGTGGCGGCGGGTAGCCTGCCGGCGGGGCGGGTGGCAGCGGCCGGGCTGGGGAAGCAGCCTCCTTAGACACTGGTTTCGGTTTCTTTTGACGGTCCTTCATCTCAGCCAAGGGCCGCAAAACGGGCGATAGATTCGCCGTGTCCAGACCGGCGCGCTGAAAGTATCGAAGCGCAGACTCCCAATTCGCACTCGACGCGACTTTCCTCCGCCCGCCATGGCCGATGAGGATGATGGCGACTTGGCGAATGACGTGGAGATAGGTCTTTTCAAACTCCTTGGAGTAGTCCGTACATCCCTGGCATCGCCGGACCCGGTCCAGCATGAGAACGTCGAGCGGCGTTCGCCCAAGGCTGTCGAGCTCGTTGGGATTGATGCCATGCCCCAGAAGCCAGATGGCCGTCGTGGGAAGCGCCAGGTGGATTGGCCGGCACGTGTCGGTTCTTGACTTGTGGTTCCTGTTGCCCCAGACCGGACAATTTGCACCCCCCGGGTTGTGGTCGAGCAGTAGGGCCGTGAGTCGGTCTAGGCCGTCGATGCAGTGTGTTTCCCACGGGTCGTACCAGGAGTGGAGTTTCAAGGGATCGAGAGTGTCTGTGAATAAATCCGACTCCTGTGATGCGTTGTATCCGTTGTCGAGGATGAAATTCGCCGTCAGCAGCCGTTGGTGCGTATGTGTCTCCCGTGAGCCGAGGGCGAGCGCAGTCAGGAGGAGAAGCTTGTTGCACGCGGGCGACGTCAAGGAATTTTCTTGGTCTCGTAAGGAATCCCGCAGGTACAAGCGAAGTCGGAAATACGTCGCAAAGGCCACGTGTGATCGTATCAAGTCCCTTCTGAACTTGTCGTACAGGTAGGCGCCCGAAAACCTCAGGATGTCCATCAGGCCCACTCCAAGACCAACGATGACCTGGTCCGGCACGCTGTCGAGAAACGTCTGGCAGCTCGTCCCGGTGGTCTCCTCGGCCTCGGCTCCGTGGTCCAAGGACGGCCGGAGCGCGTCGAGCATGTCCATGTGGTGCACTCGTATGAGCTCCTCAGTCAGCCTGAAGCTCACCAGAGATTTGAAGTGAAATGTATGGCCGTTCTCATATGTCGCCTTGGCCATGGGCCCGAGCACCTGGTCCTTGAAGTCGAGCTTGACGACGAATTCGTAGACAGTTTGGTGCATCAGCTGCACCGTGGGGCTGGACGGGTCTGCCGTGAACAGACCAAACGACATGGACACCAGGCCCCCGCCCCATTGTAACACGCTTCGTTTCGGCTCGTTTGTGCTTGACTTGTGACCGCGCGCGCTTAACTTCTTCAGTGTTTCCAGTGCGGCAGGGTATGTCGGCGAGTCCGAAATGAGCGTCGTCTTCCAGAGATAGTGCAGGCTGAGCTCCTTTGGGTTTCGGGCCCGGACGACCAGCTCGAGCAAGGCATATGTTTGCCACCGGAGGCTTTGCGGGATTCGCTGGATGATAAAGTGGTAATAGTCGGAGAGTTCCGTAGGCACAGAATGCAGCAGTCTCAACAGGTCTTTGAGAGAGGGGACGTTGTCTCCCTCAAACGCTGCCATGAGTTCCTTCAAAATCAAACTGGCCCATAGAAAGACACCGGATGCGCGCAATACAATTTCGTCCGCTATGCGCGAGACGGGGCCATGCTGAGAAGGATCTAGCGATTCGATCAGGTGCGTGGTGCAAAAGTACCGAATATCCGATTTCGTGAAATCCTCGACCGAGAGGCTCATTTCGCCGCCAAAATGGGAGACGAACTCCTCCCAAGGACGGCTCGAAAAGCACAGCTTGGTCGTCGTGAGCGACGAGTCGGGTCTGTTGGCGAGAAAGTTGAGAAAGCGGCACACGTAGGCGGGCGGGCCGTCAAACTCATCCAGGGCATCGAGAAAAAAGATGATACGAATCTTGACTTGGTTTTGGTCCAATATCGACCGAAGCGCCTCTTTCAGGCGGTCGATCGGCCACGACATCTGCTCCACGCGACAAATGTACCGGTGGGCCTCGTGCAGTTGATCCGAGTCCTTGGGAAGCGAGGCCGGTTCTCCAAGGTGGGACTCGCGCGACGACGAGGTGTCTTGGATCCGGAATGCGGGTGTTTCAAAGAGAGAATCTAGAAATGACAGGGTTCTCTTGTTGTTCGAAAGGCTCTTGATGATCTGCCGAAGCACGCTTCTCATCAGGCCTTCCAGCGTCTTTTGGATTGCCGTTCCGCGATAGTTGAAGAAGAAGCCAGCTGAAATCTGACAGGTCGAGTCCTCGAAATTGTGCGAGTACTGCCAGGTTCGCTTGTCGGTGTATATGAGCTTCATGAGAGTTGATTTCCCCGAGCCGGGCTTGCCATTGATCCAGAAGATGCCGTCGTCTTGTCGGAGCCACGATGTGAAGGGCTCATGTTCGTAGATCCACTCGCATGTGTGTCCGAAGCGGTTGGCGATCAAGGTTTGGCGCAGGTCCAGGTCGGGGGAGTCCAAGGCGAAGAGAAAGTCTGTGGAATGGTTAATATCGTAGACCGGTTCTTTAATATCGGTGGTGATAACTTGCTGTTGACCCGATGTCCGCGACGTTCTCGCCGAGCGTCTTCGTCATCTCGCTCCGTACCGCTATCGGGATCGTCCGAGCGGAACTTTGGAGAGGTAATCAGGTTGGCCAGCGAGGCCGATTGGGCCCCGAGCTCGTCAGGGTCTGTCGCCGCGTCGGAGAGGCCGCACACTAGACGTAAAAGGTGAATTATCGGGCCGGTATTCGGGTCGGCGCGGCTGAACTTGACCATTTCAGAGTGGTTCCTGGCGATGGGGTGCACAGACGGCGCGGATTCCTTGATTCTGTGCGCGGTAGCAGAGTCCGGGTCCACCAAAATGGCGGACGGTCCGGTCATTTTACGCGTCTTCGCGTCAAAGATGGGTGATTTGTCCGTTTCGAAAACCCAGTAAAAGGTCATTTCCCCCAGCTTGGAAATGCCGGAGAAGGAGCGCTCCAGGCGGCTGAGGTATCCATATGTGGCCGACTCTCGGGAGAGGTCTTGCACCAGGTGCTCGATGGAATGGCCTTGGACGAGTGTGAGCAGATGGCTCTGTTCCATACCGAGGTTGGGGACCCCAAACATGATGGCCCCCTTACACCTCGTCAGGATTTTGCGCTCGAGCGAGTTGTCCTGCGAGTTGGCCAGCCTGCACAGGGCGTCCTTGAGCACGATGCCGCCGAGACTGTGGGCCAGGAACACCAGCGGCCTCGCGTGGTCAAGGGCGCCGCCATTCGCCCTAATCTGTGAGATGAAGCCGAGGGCGAGGTGTGATATGCCTTGGAACGAATGGGAGCCTGCGAGTCTGGTATCGTAGCCGTACAGGATGGTCCTCAAGCCGGGGACGTAGATAGGGGCCAGGTCTCGTATCCACATGAAGGTCTTGTCGTCGCCGCGGGGCTGCCAAGAGCCAAAGGGATGGCTCGCCAGGCCCGAGATGGCGATGCAGTCCGCGACGTGTTTTTCGGGCTCGACGTCGTTGAGGGGCGTGAGCCCCCAGAAATGGCTGTCGAGCACGGGATACTCGTCGGCGTCAAGAACCCACTCGGCCTGGCCTTCGTCCGAACGGCCCAGCATCGCAGGGGGCTTGAGGAACATCAGGGTGGCCACTTTGGAGGGTGGCATTTCCCAGGGGGTGAGGCTGGTGGCCAGCGAAAAGACCTTGACACTCTCGGCGGGGATCTCCATGGCCTTGGCGACCAAGGCTCGGACGGCGCCGTGGCTGCTTGTGCGACTCGGAATTTTGGAGAGCCGGAAGACGGTCCGCCTCCAGTCGGCCCTTGTGGTTCCCATGGTTGTGCGGAGTGCGTCGTTTCGTCAGCTCATCGGGGGATATCTGTCACGGTAATTGCGGAGCGAAGTGAGGTAGAGGTCGGATGCCGAGTTCCAGGCCGTCCTTTGCGTCTAGGTACTCAGCCGCACTGGGTGGCGTCAAAAGCGCAATTTGATGATTGTCAATAACTACCAATCAGGATTGACCTTAAGCGCGCGGACATTGGTTTTTGAACTGTGGATTCGTCAACCTAGTCTAGATCAAATGAACGTTTCAAAGTACCTAGGTAAACATGCCCTTACGATCGCGGGTTGAATCGCCGTGGTAAGAGTTAGTCTGCATATTACATGGTAAGGTAGCGTACCCTACTATATACCGCGCACGACCCCCAATCTCCTCGAGCCCCAACCCCTATATGGAACGGGTTATACCCGTGATACTCCCCGCCCCCAAAACTCGGCCCCGGCCGTCACATGCGTGCACACTCTCTGTGGCGATGTGCTGTTGTAGAGTCTGTCGCTGTGTTGCCTGGATATGTATAGGGAAGAGTTAGTTACTGAACTTTTGGTGCCATGGATCCTGTCGGTCCAACGTTGCTCACTTCACGTTATTATCGCGATGTTGGGTAGTTAGGTATTTAGGCACCTAATTCTGTTCACTGCTTCCTAGGTGGTAACTAAGGTACTTGCGAAGTACATAGGTACCTGTGTTCTTTTCTCCCAGTTTAGCCCTGTAGTCAAATAGTGACGTCAATATTCCATGAGGAGTCAAAATGGGTCCCGAGTCAAACCGCCTCTCAATTGGCTTTCTAAATAAACTAAGTTAACACTCGGTAGAATAGGCGGGGTCGGCCCGAAGCTAGGTTATGTGTAGTAAAGTGTTCATAGTGCTACCCAAATAGAGTTTAACTCGAAGAGCTTCCATCTCATGATCTCAGTACCTAGGTAGGCATCTAGGTAGTGAAAAAAGCCCGAGAATTCCGAAGTGTAGGTAGGGAGCCAGGCCATAGCCTGTTTTGCAACCGAAGTATCGGTGTGTTTGAAGGGAATCATGAGTGAGTACAAGAAGCACTATGCTGCGGCCAACGAATACTTAGTTCTCTCCCTAGATAGGCTCTCATATTCTGACCGTCCGCATCACAAACTTCGACCAAGTCGCATGTGAACCAGATGTAGCCTAGGGTTAGGGTCAAAGTTAAACCTTCGCCCCCGCTTCGGCAAAGCAGCGCAAGCAAAGAGATCAAATCTGAAGGTCGTGGAAGGATGGAATCAGATAGGTAATCGCATCCCACCTTGCAGGATTGGAGTGGGAGGTGATACTCGTCCGTGTAGGGCGGCTGCAATCGACGTTTTCTTTTTACCAGCCCTGTGAGGAAAGGAAAACGACAACACCTCCGCGGGATTTGTCTTGGCTTCATTCAGTTTGGCCCGTTCGAGATTTTCTCTTGTCCTTCGCTTTTCTGGTTCCGCCAATGGCTCCCACGCTGTTCCTTACCTGAACCGAACATTGCACGTCGAGACCCTGGGTTTGAGAACCCCCACGCGGCACAGGGGCTCTTGCCAAACAGCTCTCTCCGCGTCGAGGCTTACCCCGCGCCAGTACCCAAACGGCCAGCCACCTCATACTCCAAATTTGGGGGTTCCCCTTCTTTTCCAACACCTCTTCTCCCTGGTTGCTTAGTGTTTCTCTTTGACCACCTGCTGGTGCTTTCACGACTAGGACCCGTGGTGCCGTGCACCTCACTGCCCGTTGCTTCCCTGACCCTCTTATTATTATGCCGACCGACGAAAATGACAGGGGTATTATTCCATCCGTAAGAATTTGTCGGTTTCGAGGGGACAGCCGCACCTCCCCTTGCCTACACGTGGAGGGCAACGAGCTCTGAAGCGGTGGGGTGTGGAGATGAGCGTGGGGGCATCCCGCTGCTTGGGCGCACCTGGGCAATCTGGGGAAGCTTCCCCTCTGAGCTTTTTGCGCGCATGGGTTCAGCTTACGGAATTATTGAACTCGACACCGAACATCGCCCAATCTGCAACGACCTGCTCCTCGAGCCCAGATTTTCCAATGTCCTTCTTCTGCCGCGGAAGGGTGCGCGCCGCTGCCTAACTTTCCAGATTTTTCTTGCACCCGCACGGGATTGTGCCCGAATGAGTTCCGCATTCCCCGAAGCCGGCGTGGCACTCTCACACTTCGAAACCCAGAAGCCATGGAATCCCAAGACGCGGCGCAAGCCCAGAACCGCGCTGCTGGGCCCGGCCCATACAAGCGCGCGAGCCGAAAGGGAGCGCCGCGCCGCTTTTCCTGCGACTTCCCGGGCTGCGATAAGATTTATTCGAGGGCCGAGCATCTCCAACGACACCAGCTGAACCGTGCGAACCACCCTCCCGTGACGGAGTATGCTGCTCTGGAGTCTGGACTGACGAACGGGATCTAGATGCCCCCAAGGAGATCTACCGTTGCGACATTGCCGGGGTATGCGCGCACTTCCTTCCACCCCATTCCAACTCCAAGCACGCGCCTGCACCTGTCCAGTCGCCTCCCCTCCTTCCCCAGTCTTCCACCATATGAAGAGGCCCGAGATCCGCTGACGCCGCCGAGCAGTGCGAGCAGAAATTTGTGCGCGCAGACCTCTTAGCCCGCCATAGGAAACGGCACTCCTCATCCTACATCCCTCGGAACCGCATGCCAAGTTTCAGCGCAACTACGGACTCGTCCCCACCAGCCACGGCTGTGTTGTCCCCGACTACCACAACCGAATCCCGCCCGGTCCTGCCCCGGGTTCCCCACGACGCCGCTATCTTGCTTGGCCCCGACTCGAATTCACAACCCTCTCCGTCCCTCCCAAACCCGGACCCGCGCAGGATGCACCAACACCCCGGCTGGCATCCCCAGCTGCCCGATATGGGGGCCTGCAACATCATCCGCCCGAAACCGGGCTACTACCCCCAGCAGGAGCAACGAGTCCCCGAACGGTCCACCCCTATGCCCTACCACACAGCCGAGTTCCAGCCCGACGACATATCGCGAGAGAACTTTGCAGTGTGGTTATTCAACCCTCACGCCCCTTATGGCGAGTTCAACGTCTCGTCCCACGTTCCCTTTGTCGACGGCGGCGGCTTGGAGTCGACGCTCAACAACAACATCCACTATGACTACGAGTCCCTCACTAGTGGTCGATCCCAACTGGAGACCCCAACCCGCTTTGTCGAGACCGACGAGCTCATTTCCGAGTTTCGCCGCCAGGAAATCCTCCGATGGTTCCAGGTGTTCCGCCAGAAGCAGCCCAAAGCGGAGCCCCTAGTTGCCAACCTTGCGCATGACGACAATGGGGACATTCCTGCCCTGGGGCTCGAAATGATGCGCGACTGTTTGCAGGAGTACTGGGACCGCGTGTCACCGCGGCTCCCTATTGTCCACCAGCCTACTTTCTCGTGCAACCGATGCTCCATCTTCCTCCTCATGGTCATGGTCGCTTTGGGTGCCGTTTCACTACGCACTAGGGACTCAACCGGAAACCTAGCCGACTACGGTGGCTTTGCGGACATGGTGATACTCGGTGTGAGGTCCGAGATTCTTACTGCCGAGGACGCCCAGCCCCCGGTTTCGCTCTGGGTATCCCAGGCCCTCCTGCTGCTCGAGTTTTACGAAAAAATGTATTCCTCCCGTCGACTTCACGAACGCGCTCACATTTACCATGTCGTGGCGCTCAACCTTCTCCGGCGTGGGAGCCCGCTTATTGGCCGCTCGGGAAGCGAATCACCCCCTGAAGTGCCGTCAGCCGAGCAACCACAGGGCGTCTCCCTGGATTCCCACACCTGGTGGTGCCGATGGGCCGAGACCGAAGCCATGCACCGGGTCGTCTTTGCTGCATTCATGACGGACACCATCCACGCCGCCATGTTCGGGCACGCAGCCGACATGGCGCCCCACGAGATCAGACTTCCCCTTCCTTGTGATGATAATATGTGGACGGCATCAAATCCAGACACAGTACGCCAGCTCGATCAAAACCTACGCATGTACGGCATCAGGCCCATATCTTTCCTTGATGGCTTGAAGCGTGCGTTGCACGGCAAGGAGGTTAAGACCCATTCCTTCGGCCGCATGATTATCATGTCTGGCCTGCTGAGTGTCGGATGGCATCTCAGCCACAGGGAGACCCATGAGAAGTGGCTGGATTTGACCGCACCGGCCACCGAAACCCACGAGGCATGGAAGAAAACCCTATTGCGCGCCTTCGACGACTGGAAGCGCAGCTTTGACGCTGCCCAAGGCGCGGCGGGAAACTCTACCCTCGCCGACGCGCCAGGCTCGAATGGCCCTGTCCATAGCGCTGCTATCCTCTACCACTTGGCTCAGATTAGCTTGCACGTCGATATCATCGACTGTCAAGTATACAGTGGCGCCAAGCGGTTGCTCGGGAGGAAGGTTTCTGTTCGAGACTATACCAACGTGGTTGCTAGGATGCGAGCATGGGCCACTCTGTCGTCAACTCGCCATGCCATCTTGCACGCCTTCAAACTCCTTCACCGCGTCCTGGTCGACCCCCGACGGAATGCAAACTCTGCTGACCGCGAGCGGTTGGATATTGGACCCGGTGTCGTGAGTCTGCCACCGATCGAGGTTCAGACGTACTCTTGCCGCAACGAGCCAGATCCCCATCGACCTTGGGTGATGTACTACGCTGCCTTGAGCATTTGGTCATTCGTGAGAGCGATTAGCCGCCAGGATTCGCTTCAAGAACCGACCGGGCATGCGAGTAACTCGTTCCGTCCGGGAAAACCATCCCCTATCCAATACCGGCGTGTGGCCGCCTACCTGGGTAACATTGCCGCCCTCCCCGAGCTGACTGAGAGCGCTGCGACGGGTTTAGGAGATGGCTTGCCCGATTTGCTCGACACCTTGAGCTCGGTGCTTTCCGAGGCACACTCCGAAATACTACAAGAAGCGCATGTACGACTGGAGGCGTGTAAGGAGATGCTCACCAACTCCAGTGGGTGACATTATCATCAGAGATGTTGCCAATTTACTGGCCACACGGGAACCAGAATAGTGATGGTCCTATTTCATGACTGAGCCCCTTGCCCCTTGTAATGTAGGAGGCTCCCCCGAGTAAGGGATTTCATAGGGGGTAGGAAATGGAGTCTGGGAGCATCGCCCTTCTTAAGGGCTAACTGTGTGGTTACCAGTCGTGCGTAGTCTTGCCAAGAATGTGAGTACAATGGAATCCTGTCAAATTGCCGCTCCCCTGCTAACTCGGGCCCAGGTTTGATAGAAACCATACCAACGCTGTCCACACCCAGTCCTCATCTCAGACCTTGAAATATCCCTTCCACAGATCTCGGAGCTCTCCCCTTGGATCATACTTTTTTGCGACACGCCTCAATTTCGCATGATTTTGCTTTCCATACCCTGCAAATACGTCCTGCGTCTGTCCTGCGTAGTTCATGTATATGTACCCGTTCTTCGACCTTGCTCCGCGCGACTCTGCGAGCGCGTTGATTTTGTCTATCAGCTCCTTAGACCCAGTCTCCACCGCCGCGTCCATCCCCGTGCTTGTCCATGACAACGCCAGCTGTACGATCATAAGTGGCCCATCTTCAGGCTTCAAACCCAACGCGTTACCGCCGTTGACCTGCATTGCCTCCAGGATGTTGGACGAGATGGGTTGGTAGATGAGAAACGGCGACACGGTGGAATTGTCGGCTGCGGCCGCGGCGAGAAGACGAGCCACATATTTCTCCCACAAGGGCACAATGTCCAGCAGTAAATCGGGCGTCGCCGTCGCAGCGACGCTGGTAACCCACCACGTCTGGCGCAGCCCCGGGGCCTGTTCAATATCGCGTGACAGCCGCGAGACGTTGCTTAGCCGGGTGTTGGTAGACAGCGTCGGCAGCACTGTGTTATGAAACTCGGCAAACACCGCCGGCGGCGATGCAAGATCCGAATGCGTAGCGTGAAACTGATCACTGAGCACCACGTACCCCCCCAGCTCAGCCGCGTACGTCATAACAAAGTAGGTATGCGCCGCATGGTCATCCGCCAGCCCCTTAACCAGCAACTCATGCATCAGGGGGATCAGCGTCCTGTTCGTCGCCGCCCCGGGATACACGCGCGAACTCGCCCACAAATCCCCCTGCTCGAACGCCACCAGATCAAACCGCGTCACCACCCCAAAATTCGACCCGCCCCCGCCGCGCAACGCCCAATACAAATCCCCATTCACCCCGGCCGACGCCTCCACCACCTCCCCCGACGCCAGCACCACCTCATAACGCCGCACATTATCACACACCCACCCCCTCCCCCCCGAAAAATACGAGATCCCCCCGCCCAGCGCACAGCCGCGCTCACCCCAACCGAGCGAGCTCCGCTGCGACGTCACTGCCTGCTCCGGCGGGATCCAGTCACCTCCGCACAAATCCAGTCCATCAGGGTCTGAGCCCCCCACCGCCGGCTATGGTCTGAAACGATCCGATGAAAGGGAAATCCCGTCCAGGCCACGGAATCACTACAACCCATCCGGTCGAGGAGCGCGTGTGTCTGGCCTCCGAAAGCCGTGTGCCCGCCGCCTTTGATGGAGAAGGGCGCGCGGTGGGTGGTGAGGAAGCGGATGGTCTGGGCGACTTCGGTCGTGTTGGTGGGGGTAATGAAGCAGGCCGGGTGGAGAGCGCTTTGGCGGGCGGACCAGTAGGTGTTGTGGGTGGGGTAGAGGGGGGAGGAGGGGAGGGTGATGGTTAGGTGGGGGTGGGTGTGGGCGAGGGTTTGGCACTGGGGATGGTTAATGATTAGGCGTTGTTGGGGGATGGGTGTGGATATGGGAAGGGGGAGGGGGAAGGGTGTTCCTTACGATGGTTGAATGGTCATGGTTGTGGTTGGTGGTTGTGGCGGCGGCTGGGAGCGCCAGGCCGAGGAGGATAGGCCATGGTCGTAACATTTTGGATGTTGACTGCCAAATGTTGTCGGTGCGCACCTGGCCCTCTCATACCTATCTTGCACAAGTGGGAAGACATGCTCTTAAGCACCCAAAATCCACGACAACGTAGCTGCGGGTCAAAAAGACCCCTACATCCCGGGTCTGCAAGGCGCTAGATGTGCCACGCCGCTGCAGCTGCAGGCGAAAAGCACTGCCCGGCGCAAGAGAACCGCTCGGATTCACCGTATCGACGAACGTGGGTGCCACCAACTCGCCAGGGATAGGTTACACCAATCACACCGATGGCGTATCCCGCCGAGACTCGCCTCGCACTCCCAACTCAGACGGAAATTGGCAGATCCGGCGTTAGTGCTGACCAGGACTGGCTGCCGAACACAAATCGTCTGCCATTTTGGGCCGTCTCGACTCTATTTGCTGTCGTCTCTCTCGGGAAAGGATGAGCCGGGCCGATATGGATTGGGACGAGTTGTGGGAGTCAGGTTGTGTAACACCAGCCAACTGGAAGTTAGGTGCCTACATAAGCCTCTGACTCGGGTTTTGCATGAGTCAATGGATGAACAATTGTCCGTTGGCTAGCTGCCACTCGACTACAGCCCTCGGTCTCACCCAGTTTCTACAACCCAACTCATCATCAAAGGGTTGTTGGCCATCATATACCTGGGAACTGCTAAACCCAATGTGAGAGGAAGTGCTTTACCTATGGTGTAGGGCAACGCATTAATGTGCCGAATCATCTATATCCACGAAGGTGGACGGGGACACTGGGGTAAAAAGAAATCCGTGGTCCGTAAGTACCTACTAACCCGCAGGTACCACGTCCGTAGGACTTTTTCGTATGTGGGTTGGCCTAGGGGTCGTCATCAACAACCACTTAGATGAAGCGTGCAAGAAGACTATATCACTACCTATTGTGCGTTGAGACAAACGTCTAGGTCCCCTTCCCCAAACCCCTGAGCACTCATCAGCATACTCCCCGACAGATACAACTCCTCCTGGCCTGGAAACCAATCTCTCGTAAACTGGCTCGTCGTAGGGTTTGTGATCAACAACTTGAACACCAGCCCCGTCTGGCTTTGCTCAACGGCCCGGACCAAACTGTTCAAGTACAACATCACGGTATGCAGCCCCTCCAGAAACTCGGGCTCTGGCTCGAACCACGCCACCCAGTCCACCACACACACCACCACGCCCACCCCGATCTGCTTCACCAAACCATCAAACACCAAACACAACGCGTCCAGGTCCCGGCGCCGCAACGCCTCGGCCTCGGCCACCCCAACATGCGACAGATCCACTCCCAACTCCGCCCTCCTCGTCGCAAGCAGCAGCACAACCTGTGCAATCAGAAACCGCATCATCCCCGCCGGGCCATCAAATCCTTCCTCACTACCACCACCACCACCACCACCATGCCCACCACCCCCATGCAACCGACAATAAAACCCCACCGGATACACCCCACCACCCCCATCCCCATCCGCCAACCTCGCCAACCCCCCCAGCAACAACGCACAGAAATGGATCGTAACCGGCACCACCACACCACCCAGAACCCCCGGCGCCATGGAGGAGGTCGGCGGCGTGACGTCCATGCCATGGATGGTGAGCACGCACGACGAGAGCGAGCGCAGCCAAGTCTGGAACTGGTGGGAGGCAGTGGCGAAGTGCAGGGTGGATTGTTGTTGTTGTTGCGTGGCGCGGCTGAGGAGGAGGGTCAGGTTTTGGTCTTTGGTGAGGGGATAGGGGGTGTTTATAGTGTTGGTGGTTGTGGTGTTGGGGGGTGTGGTGGTGGGGTTGGTAGGGAGGTTGAGGGGGGTGAGGAGGGAGGGGATGGTGAGAGTTGGTTGGGGCGGGGTGGGGGGGAGGTAGGGGTTGAGGAAGGTTGTGGTTGTGTTGGGGTGGGGGATGGCTTGGAGGGTTTGGAGGTGGAAGTTGCGCTGGCGTTCTTCGAGGCGGTGGATTTGCCCTGTGTGAGGGGGTTGGTTAGTATGGTAGGTAGGGGGCGTGAAGGGGAATGGTGGAAGTACTCACACTCAACGCCTTTGGACATGCCATGGAACTGCTTCTCCAGCACGCTGAGAGCCTCAAACCTCAAGGCCGTAATGTGCTCGCTCATTTGTTCGACCCTTTTGCCCACCGTGAGGACGTTATGATGGACGGCGTGTACTACCTTGTGCAGGCAGCGTGAAATACAATCCTCAAATGATGATCCCTTGTCCTAGAGATTCGCGCTGAGCTTTTCTTCGAATTCTTTTCCGTAATCGCCTTGTTCAAAGAGGGCTTTGAGAGATTCGCCAACTGGATGGAGGGTTAACTTCTGGCACTGGGAGACTGATGACAACAACATACGGGACGACCGGTACAGCCATTCCGTCAGTGCTTCTATGGTCTCGAGGATGGCGATGTACAAATCTTCGGTCTTTTGCCGAACATCTTCATCCCAAGCGTACATCATGAGAAACGACTTAGTGCCCTCAACATGCTGAGAAAGTGAGTCGAGGGTCCGGATGATCAGCTCTTGGATCTCTCTTCTGCGTGTTGCGGCCTGTATATCGCCCCTGTTTTAGTACTATCCCAAGTGGGTGTCGAATCACTGAGCTCACATTGTAGATCAAACACAATCCCCCGCATAGAGCACCTGTAAAGTCTCCATCCGGAAGCAGCACAACGAGAAACTTTATCCGGCAGGCCACTGATCCAAAGAGACGCTGGGTGCTGCGAAATGGGTGTCTCCAGCTGCGACCTCGCTTGGTGTAGTCATCGAAGGCCTGCGTGGCCTCTTCAAGGACTTGAGGCCATGTGGTGCTCTCATCGAAGGTGACTTTCCATGCGCCCCTATCGTTGTACTTGGCGAGAAAACGTTTCATGAACTGGCGAAAATGGTCCTTCCGCTGCTCAAGCCTACATCAAGTCAGAACCCCATCGCACTACTACTAGTTGTGGCGTCAAGGAGTCCCTTTCAGACGCTGGCGGGGCCATGTACTTGTCCATGGCCTGCTTGAACGCCCATGCCGGGTCGTGCTCCGGGGCGTTGAATGTGATCCATGGTCCCATATCACCTGCGTCCTCCTGGGTTCTCTGCGCCATCGGTACAAGTAAGGCTGGTGATAACTAATGACTTAACTGTTGGCCGTTTGTGGGGTTATAATTGTGTGAGCGGCGCTGGCCTATGGCGCATCATCGTTTCACATCCCCACGGATGTGGGAGGCGAGCCGGTAAAGAAAGGCATCACTAAGGCCCTCGGGAAGGCCCAGAACAAGAGCTTGCGGATTGTGGCGGGAGCCTTTAAGTCTACCCCCATCCGTAACCTCGAGACAGAGACATGGGTACCACCATTGGACTTGTACCTAAACAAACGGCTTGCAGATTTCGAAAACCGACTCCAACGACCCGATCTGGACGACGGTCGAGGCGGCAAGAAGACGGCGGCGAGCGTTGTCCTCACCGCCTGCCGCAAGATACAGCAGAGACTTAGCTCGAGGAGGGGCAACAGGGGCCGACCGCGAACGTTGGGACCTCAAGGGCCTACGGCGGTGGGAGAGAGCCGCGGGCACGGTCATGCGCTGGACGGGGGGAACCGTTGATACGAACAGGGTAGTAGAAGAGGCTTGGAAAGCCAGGTGGTTAAAGGAACGGGACGGCAGGGCAATCACCAGGCCGGCGGACGACTTTGACCATCAGCAGGAGACGCTATTCCGGAACGAAACCCTAAGGAGGCACGACGGTCTCAACAAGGCAAAGAGCTCACTGCTGATTCAAATCCGGACGGGAGCCATAGGCTTACGGGACTTCTTGTTTACACGGGGAGTCCCGGAGGTTCTGACTCCTGCCTGCGAGTGTGGCGAGGGACGAGAGACTGCCGAACACCTGGTAGTGTGGTGTTTGGCCCCACCGGTGACTAGAAGATGGGAGAGAACTGGAATTCGGACACGACGGGACTTTTACTCTGTTCTACACGGCATCAATCCCACGACTGCACGGCTCGCGAGGAGAGTTCTCGACTGGCTGATGGACTCGGGGAAGCTGCCGATGTACAACTTAGCCAGGAGGCTCGAGCTGGAAGCGGCGGCCTGAAGCGCCCCCGTTCGGAGGCCAGGAGGCCTCCTCTCTTTGTATATGTAGGCTCACTAAAACGCATCGCTCCTTGATTGTTGGTATGGGTTTTTCACCCGGCCCCGGAGGGCACGGTTTTCCTTACACTAAATAGCTGAGGGTCCGGCACGCCCTAGGGCATAGCGGAGTATGAATAATAATATTTGCTTTTGTCTTGCGGACCAGGAGTTGGGGTGAGCCAGTCCCCTTCCCCCTTGAGTAATTGAAACGGGCGCTGAGCTAACAAGGGTTCCTCCGTTCTACAGCCTGCCTGCAAATTAGCAAAGACATCCACGGCAATCAGAGCTTGACTGATGTTCAGTTACGTGATGAACCATGGGAAAACTTGGAACTCCCCGTCGGGCACAAGGAAATCGTGCATGCCTTGGTAGACTCGCATTTTTCCAAAGACAAGAGCAAAAACATCCAGTTTGACCTTGTCAGCGGCAAAGGTGAGTAGTAGCTGTTCCTCTTTGGTCGAAAATAGTATCAGCTAACTATGGTATTAACAAGGAAACAGGGAACGGTGTCATTATTCTCCTACACGGCGTGCCAGGGGGTTGGGAAAACATCAACAGCAGGTAAGGATGGTGCCCAAAAGCTACCTACCTACCTAAGGACCTACACAGGAAAGACTTCTGACCGTGACCCAACAGATTGCGCCGCACAGAGTTACGGCAGGCCGCTGCTGCCCATTACATGTGGTATGTAGATGCACTTCCCTGACTAATGTTAACTTTGCCCATTATTAAGATACCCGGTTTGGGATCGGCGTTGCTAACATGGCTCCATCAAGGTGACCTAGGACTGACGCCTGCTGAGGTGGAATCTCGGCTGCAGGAGATCTTCAGGCTTGCACAGGCGTGGGGTTGCGTCATGCTACTTGACGAAGCCGACATTTTCCTTGCACAACGAACACCGACGGATATTAAGAGAAACGCCTTGGTCTCTGGTACATATAAGCATGCCGATATCCCTTTCTTAGCGCTTTGACATCTTGACATAAGTTCATTTTCAGTTTTCCTCCGGACTCTGGAGTACTATGAAGGCATCCTCTTCTTGACCACCAACCGGGTAGTTAGGGGTTTTCGACGAGGCCTTCAAATCACGCATCCACCTGTCCTTGTACTACCCTCCGCTCACCAAGGACCAAACGATCAGTATCTGGCGCTCCCACATTGCTACCGCTAAGAAGGAGAGCTGCATTGAAGTCAACGAGGTTGATCTGGTGCTATACGCACAAGAAATATTTCAACGACAGAGTGATCCCCAGTTCGGTCCTGTTTGGAATGGTCGCCAGATCCGGAATGCCTTCCAGACAGCTGTCGCGCTGGCGGGCTTTCACAGCAAGGATAACAGGTGTATCAAGTTGGAACCTAAACACTTCAGCCAGGTCTTTAGCGTTTCGGACCAGTTCAGCAGTTACATTTGGCTGGTCAAGCAGCGCAACTCGGACGCGCAGTGGAACGCCATGCAGATGCTCCGACGGGACGACTGGACTTATGCAGGACCTCCTGGGGTAAATCTAGCGACCAATAACCAGCAAGGCGTCCAGGCGCCTCCTCGCTTTAGCAATTTCCCACAGTTCAGCTTTGGGCAGCAAACTGGTCCTTCGAGATCGACGGCCCCTTTCGGCGATGGGATGGGCACGGGAGGCATGACCTTGACCGGCGGCGGTGCTGCCAACCAATTTGGTAACATCCAAACAACCTCCGACCAACAATGGCATACCCATAACATCCACTACCCCCTACCGGTCGGTCAAAGCAACGCAAACCTCCGGCTCCAGCCCACGCCCTCAACAGGCATGGAAAACGACCAACAAAGACCTCACTGCCAAGAACAGACCCAGTCATACGCGCAACTAAACCCCAGCCATCAGCAGGGTCTAGTGCAACTGAACTAGCTGTTTTCCCAATAGCGGTAGCAAAATGAACAACAGCAGCGGCCCAACGCTCTCAGCTTCACAAACGCGACCATGCTCAACCCGAACCACGAAGTTCCATAACGAGCACAGCAGCAGGGAGTTAATGGTTCTCACCGACGATTTGCTATTGTTCAAATCGGTATCAAGTTCAGGTCATCTCGACAGAAAAAAAGTAAAAAGGGGAGAGAATGTAGCGCGTAACTAGACGTTTTTATTGATACTACACAACAAAGAAAAAGGAAATAGTTTCCCGGTGGTCCGAAATTTAAAACAATACCTGCGTGAGGTTAGCAAAGTTTAACTCGAGGACGGGTTTACCCCAAAAAACGTAAACAAGTGCTGTAGTACCCCTGATCTCCCTTCAATCCCTTGTTATTCAACCGAGCCGCCTCCTTTGCCCGATACTCGTGCTCATGGCGACCATCCAGTTTCCTGTAGTCCTGCATGTCCCCCGAGCTGATATCCCCCTTCAGATAGCTGCCCAACAGCCTCAACCAGGCGCGGGCTTGCAGGCTAGCCGGGTAAGATAGAAACAGGTGGACCATGTCGAGCCACACACGGCCGTGGTCGGCATGGGGGATCAGCGGACGGCACACGCGGCTCAGCACATACTTCCACTGCGCGTCGTCCGGGTTGCACCCGTGGGTGATGCGGGCATACTGGAACCACTCGGGCCAGTACCCGGCACTCTCCCAATCAATAATGGCCGTGACCACAGCACGGTCCGGATCCACCATGATATTCCCCACGTACAAATCACAATGCGTCAAAGCCAGTTGCCCCTGACAAGGCGGCATGGTAGCGCGCACAGCCCCGATGATGGAGCTGGGAAGCCCCGTGCGTTCGAGGGCAGGAAGGAACTCGTTGTCGAAGATGTCGTCGTCGGTGCGCCAGCGGCCGTGGAGGAAGCCGCGGGACCCGGAGTCGTCCGGCACGAAGCAGTTGATGGGCAGGGCCTGGCCGGACACGCTCTCTATGCGGCGGCCGCGGAAGCGCCGCGCCAGCTTGGACATGTAGTCGGCCACCTGCTGCGCCAGGTAGATCTTGTCCTCGGACGACAACTGCGGCCAGCACTGGCCCAGCGTCACGCCCCCCGCCCGCTCCTCGAGCAGGAAGTGCTGGCTCCGGTCGCGCGAGAGCCACTCTCCGAAGACGCGCGGGCAGGGGATGGGGGTGTTGGCCGTGATGAAGCGGTGGGTGGCTGCCTCCGAGTTGATGGTGTACTGCGTCCGTTTGAGGATGTAGACATTTTCCATGACCCAGACGATGCGGTTGCCGCATTGGTAGATGATCTTGGCTTTTCGGAGGTCCTCAAACCACGACGGAGGGTGGGTGGATAGCTTGTGACCACTTGACGTGGATCCATCCCTTTTGCTTTTGGACTTGGGTGATGAAGAAAAGATCTTAAACATCTTGTATATCTATTGCCTTCAAACCCGAGATCAGATGTAGATTTGCCAGTCGATGGTGTACAGTTACTTGCACAACTTTACACGCAAGTGCGGGCTCGGAGATTTCAGGTTCGAATGGAGCAAGAAACCTTTGATGCGGGACAGCGGGTCGGATACATCAGGAAATTAGGTAGGTATGATAAATACTAGTGCTTATATATATTCTTCTGAGCTCTATCTTTGTGCATTCTACAACCGCACTGCATTGTACGAATACACGCTGTACGAAAACAAAGTATTGGTGGCCATAACCGGTCACTATACGGGAGAACAAGTCAGCTTTTCCCGAGATCGAACCGTGGGGCCCAAGGCCCTGGTAATAAGAACCAAGTGTGCGTACCTGTGTACTCTCTTTTTATGGTGTGGCCATGGGGCTACTAGGATCATCCGGCACCGCTCGGGGCGAGATGGGGGGGAATGATGAGAGTATGTTGACTTCCGATCAGAACTCCAGGAGAAACTCGAGAAGTCCGGCTTTTTGGTGCATGGTTTCAGTTCGGCCTGGCGGTGATGGCCTGGTTGTGTGGGGGGTTTGAATAGACAGAGGGCTTTCAAACCATTTGCGAGCTTGAGATGTCTGCCATGGACAGCCTGACGGCGGTGGCGAATGGTAGAAATACGTGAGCTGTTATCAATTTTGGAGCCTTGAGGTGTAGCAAGTCTTGGGTAGTTGAAATCCGGTGCAGTGAAAATGAGTGCTGTGTGCTGGGCAGGTTAGCTTCAAAGTATGGGGCAATGAGGAGATCTTATGGCAGCCTGAAGTAACGTACGGCACTCGAGACACGGCTTTGGGGCTGCCATGTTGGATTCCAGCACCCATCCACCACTCCTTGTAACAATGACTTCTTTGTCTTTGTTGCGGCTAACTTTGCACTCGTGACAGAGACTAATCAGCTAGGCGTGTCAGAATCCCCGCCGTCTTTGTTCCTTTATTTCCCCTGGCATTTGTACATCGAAGAATTTGTTTCATACGCGAAACCCCCTTACTGATTTTCTCCCCACTCCTAATGTTCACGACAGAGCTGTCTCAGTCACAACCAACAGACTGCACAAACTTTCGACATCCTCCGCCATCTACTCGTTTATCTCCTTTTTGTGAAACACATCTGCCGCGTGGTGTTAGGGTCTCAGCCAGCCATAATTAGCCACCATCCACGTGTGGGCGCATACCTTGAAGCTCGGGCATCCAGTCCGTCTTTTTTTTAGAAAAAGAATCTCCCCTTTGGGGGGCCTTTTTTTGAGGGTCGCGCAGGCGGCCCCCCCCCAGGAATAGGGGGAATTTATCCGCGCGCTTCTTCTTAACGCACAAGGGCGCTTAGGGCAAGCCCCTTCCTGAAAACATCTCTCTAACCCCCCTTTTTTTAATATAACCCCCAAAAAGGAAACAACCAAAAAAAAACCCCCCCCCCCCCCCCCCCCCAAACCCAAAAAAAAAAAAAAAAAAAAAAAAAAAAACCTACCCCAAACTCGCACACAAAAGCGCCACACGCCCCGCAAAACTCCCTCGTCACCCCATTCTCCTGCTTATACCTCTTCGGCGGCTCGCTCCCCTCCTCATACTGGAAAGCGTTCACAGGCACCTTGGCTGTTAGGCCGTAGTTGGCGCCGAAGGCGCGCCGGCAGCTGTGGCAGTGGCAGAGCGTGGTGCGGGCCGCGTCGGCGGAGGCGAGGTGCAGGGTATAGCGGAGGCGGTTGCACACGCAGCGGCCGTGGAGGTGGAGGGGCATGGTGGTGGTAATGGTGATGGGTAGGAGGAGGGGTGTGCTGGGGTTGAGGCGTCGTTTTTATAAGCCTGTTGTGGGTTGATCAGGTATGGGATGGTGGTTGGGGGCGTGTGTTGGGGGCGCTGGGGTTTTGAAGGGGTAGATGGTGACGTCAATGATTCCAAGTTTGTGTCGGTCATCGTTCATCATCCCGTCTTAGCCGTCATTCGATGGTTGTGAGATGTCATGCAATCCATGATACATACCCCTTCGATGCGCGAATGATCTCTCTTACCTTCGTCCCCTGTTCTCACACAAAAACATCACGCCAAGACAATAAGCACCTGGAAAGGATAGATGCACCTCTCAACGGAATCTCCATGCAGTCATTGATGCCGTGGAGAATGGATGTATGGCATTTGTAGTAGCCTTTGGTATGCGAAGAAGGCATGGCCACATCAGACACAAACGCAGTTGGCGGAGTGTTCCTTGGCCATCAGGTCCAAAAGCCACTGATTCGCGTTTGAATTCCACACCAACAATCCTACTAGGAACTACACCAAATACCTGAACCCCTTGTTGAACTTCTCGGGGTCCCTCTCGCCGTCCACCGGCGCCTGCGGCACGGCCTCGGGCCGCTCGGCCTCCTCCAGCTGCTTGTTCATGCGCACCAGCACCAGCTTGAACACGAAGCAGCCCAAGATGGTGACGCCAAACATGGCCGTGACGATGCCGTAGCTCTTGCGGAAGCCGTTGTCCTTGAGATCCCAGACGTAGGACCCGGCCACGTTGCCCAGCTGGCTGAAGGCGTTGATCATGGCGATGGCGACGGCGCGCTTCGCGGGGGGGGCGGGGGAAGGAGGAGGAGATCCAGGAGTAGAATACGATGAAACTATACGATGAGGTTAGGACCTGGCTGCACGTGGAGAGTGAGGGGTTGGGGCCGTTATAACTCACCCCGGCGTAGCTGCTTTGCTTGGAGGGAAGAGGGCTACGTAACGGGCTGCCACGTTGGATGTGGCCATGCTAATGATGAACCCGATGAGGCCAAGGCAAATCGGGCCGACAATGTGCCAAAACTGTGAGTACGCGTTAATTTTGCGTCACGCTGGCCGGTGTGGGATGGAAAAGGAGACGGGGTAAACAAACTTTGTCTTGGGTGCGATCCGAGTGCCACGCGTTGATCAACGAGACCAAGCAGGCAAAAGCCCAAGGCGGTGCGCTCATGAGAAGCGTCGGGACGTAGTCAAAGTTCAGGGTGCCCGTGAGCGTGGGCTGTAGTCGCGCAGAGAAACATGTTGGTAAGTTCATCTGGAGGTAATGTAAAATGGGCAAGGAACGACTTACGAAGAAAGCGTTGAAAGACAGGCCAACAACGTAGGCAGTAAGCGTGAACATCATCAAGTACACCTTGGGGTCCTTCAGGGCCATGATCAGACCGGTGAAGACGCCTTGGTCAGGTTCGTCACTGTCCGCTACGCCGACGTCTTCGGTCATGCGCAGCTGCGCGACATAGCGCTCCTCCTCGGAAAATCCGCGCGTGTTATGCGGCAGGTCGGGCAGGATGAAGACGGCAAGGATGGCAACGAACATGGTAGCGGCACCCTCGACTATCGAAAACGAGTGTTAGCAACTATGAGAATTCATGTCAAAAGAAGAAGGACATAGTTGTCGGGCTACGTACTGTAGAACAGCCAGCGCCAGGCGGCATGGCCCAAGATGCCCTGCATGTTGGACAGCACACCCGGCCCCCACCAGCGCGGAGAATGCGTTCGAGATAAGGTTACCACAGAACAACAAGGCGTTTCTCGTCGTCAGTTCGCGACGGGTGTACCACTTCGATAGGATGAGAAGGGCGCCAGGAAGGAAGGCGGCCTCGACGAAGCCAAGGAAGAACCGAATGGCAACCATGCCACCAAAGTTGGTCACAATACCGGAGAGGGTAGAAACCAACCCCCACAGCAACATCGAGCACCCAATGTAGAGCGAAGGCCGGGAAACGAGGTTGATCATCATATTGGAGGGGACCTGCATGAGAATGTAGCCGACGTAGAGAATGCTGAGACAGGTGGCATATTCGTTGTACGAGAGGTCCAAGTCCTCTTGCAGGCCCTTGAGGCGGGCGGCCGCGATATTGTTGCGATCCAGATAGTTCAGGATGTACAGCAAGATGAACAAGCTGCAGCGCGTGTCCAGCTTGCGCTTCAGACTCTTCTCCACCTGGATGCGGCGTTGAGGATCCATGGTGGTCGGGCCGTTGCCCGTCACCTCGTTCTGATGGGCCTCTGTCTTCTCGGCCGAATCCATAGCGATGGTGATGTGGGGTGTAGGTTGGCTTGGGGAACACGGGAAATCACAGCAAAAGGCGGCGGGAGAGGCCTAATATACTACTATTTTGACCCTGCGAGTCAAGTTGCCCCATGGGGATGTCATCAAGGTGGTATTGGTGGATGCGAGGTACTTTAACGTCCCTCACTCAGGGGTGGTGGACCCAGTTAGTTCACTTTGATGTGGTCCGTCACGGCGTCCGCGGCTTCTGAGGATGGTCAAGCGTGTCAAGCATGTCAAGCTTCGTAGCGCTGGAAGAATGCCGCTGCAGGGTAGGGCCGAGAGGGCCGGCATTATCGGGCCAAACGCTTGTTTCTTCCCGCCGAGCCCAACCCGCCTTTCGCCCCGCTGTCATCCCATGCTTAAAAGGGCAAAGGATCATCCTCTGGGGCGACCCCGGCAACCCAGCAATTCGGCCCCATCATGATCTCGTCCCATTTACGAACTTCCCTTGTGAAACGAGAAAAAAAGAAGGGGCCCCGAGGGGAAAAAGGCCAGTGATGCGTGGGGTTTGAGACAGAACGGGGGTTCCGGAGATCAACCAGGGGAGGAGTGGAACTGATTGCCTGCCGACTCTTCTCGCCGTGAAAACTCTGAATGATTCTTCCCTTGTGTTCCCTGGTGATACCATGAAAATGGAAAAATGCGACCAAAAGTTGTGGGGTGCGGTGAGAGTGATCGGTCCTTTTCCATGCCCACTAATCCTGGCGGAACCTCGGGACCGACCTGCGAGCCTGCTTCCCCGCCCTCGCAACTCCGCCCTCCGCTTCCCCGGTATGCAGGTCGGAGAGCTGCTACACGAGGGCTGGGTTGAACCCCCACAGGCGAGAGAGGACAACGTCATTCTCGCAATGAGGAGCCAATGATACCAGAGTTTTTCCGAGGACGGGTCTTGAAAAATCGAACTTCAAGCACTAACAACCCGAAGGGAGATCGAGGAACAAGAGCTAACAAAAAGAAGAAAAAAAAAGAAGAAAAAGGGAAGAAAAGGGAAAAGAGAAAAGAGAAAAAAAACAAGATGGAAAATAAAACGTCTGTAATAGCGCTATAACCTAGAACGTTCCTTGGGATGTCAGCCTCTTCATTCCCTTGCTTGATGATTTCCCCCTGGTCGTTTTTGCAGTCAAATTCTGGTCGGGGCCCAACCAACATTGTTTAGAGCAGGCGAGGTCCTTCTGGACATAACTACCTATAGTATTATCTCGGTCCGAGAATCCATCACGGCCATCGGCTCGCTCATTCAATTCACGTATCAATGGCTTAACTACGTCTAATTTGATTGAACAACATAGTTACTAAAAAAAGACTTAACATTTTACCTCCAACCTTCTTCTCATCCCCCCTTCGGTTCCTTCCTCATTGACGGGCAACCGGTCTGTTGGGTGCATGTCTCCCTTTCCGATGGCCAGCCCATAGGTTTCAGAGTCATGTTAGACTTTCATCAAGTCTCACAACCTGGCCGTGGGACGCCAACCGGCTGATGCCATTCCTATTGATAATCAGGGGCTAATTAAGGAGCAGGATCGGGGAAGCCAGAGGTAGCTGGGTCATAGTAGCCCCTGAATCATTCGGCCGTGGCCCGGGGCCCGGCGTCGAGCAGGGGTGGCAGGGTTGAGTTTCCATGTCGAAGTCGACCGTAAGCAGAAACTACCTATATTCGAGGTACTATCAATAGGACGATCGAAGAATGGGGATGTCGTTGGTGGGTGGCTGTGCCGCAGTCGATACGGAGCAAGGCGATGCATTCTTTCTACCAAATTGTATGAGCGGTACGTTAATGATCCTTTATCATTCGCTCCTAAGTACTGAGAACACGTGCCTCTTGGATTATAAGCTTAAAATTGCCGAAACGGTCTACCCCGAAAGTGGGAATGGGTTTTCAGCCCGGCGAGGGCCGTTCTCTCAAATCTGCATTATTTCCCGATTCGTTCTGTCCCAGCCACGGACCCTGTGATATCAGCTGGCCGGGCCCTAGCCGAAAGGAAGGTTTTCACACCCATTTAGAACTTGTGTTTACCTTGGCCCCCAGAGACCAGCATCGTTCACGGGGAGGATTGACGCGGCGGTGCTGTTGAAACATGGCGGCCGTAACCACCACCTAATAACCCACAGGACCATTCACCGTGGGGCGCGGAATCGTGAACCACCACTACAGGGGATATACGAATCCCGCCAGCGGCGGTCGCCATTTACTCAGGAGCACACCCGTGCAAAGTGGCGTCAAGGGCAGGATCAAGCAGACCCGGAGTGCCTCGTTTCAACAAACCATCCGCGTCGCGGCACACTTCCAATTTCATACACGATCCATGGGACTAGGGCCATGGCCACCGCCAGCATCGGACTTCATGATGCAGGACGCAAGTGCTGGTTGCTATTTTGGAAAGGGCGGTGGATTTGTTGACCCGGTGCCACGTAGAGCGCTGCGACCATGGGCTCGTGAGGAAGTGAGAGGGTGTTAGGGCTAGCAAAAGGAAGCTCGCGCTGTCCTACCGGACAACGAGCGCAAGTATAAATACCTGGGTGTATTCCCACACTGGAGCGAGAAAAAGGAATATCATCAGAACCAGAAACTACTTTACCTTCATCAAGTCTGCAACCGCAAATTCCGAGCAACAGACAGCCGGTTTACCAAACCACTACTTCGTGAGCACCTACCCAGCTTTGAGCTACACCCAAATTCAAAACGTCCGAATCCACCCCCCCCCCCCCCCCCCCCCCACCCCGAACAACAACCACTCACTAACACCCCCCTTCCCTCTTAGCAGCAAACAACCCAACCCACTTCACATCACTCTCTCACTCCCAAACCCGACCATGTGCTGGTACCGCCACTACAACTACGCCTGCGGCCACCCGGCGCCCGACGGGTTCTCGCGCGCCTGCGAGGCCTACCCGACCTGCAACCGCCGCAACTTTGAGGGCGGCACTTTCGTGCTCCGCACCGACTGCCCGGCGTGCATCTACGACAAGGCGCCGAAAAAGAAGTCGGGGAAGAGCACGAGGCGCTAAGCGTGGAGGTACGCACGAGGAGAGGGTTGGTGGCTGAGGGAAGGGGGGACGGGTGTCAAGCTGGTTCCTTGATAGACCCGGGGATGAATGGGGCCGAGCTGGTATTTGGCGGGGGGTCGTTCTGAAGCTGGGATTTGGAAGACATGGTTGTTGTTGTTGTTGTTGTTGTTGTTGTTGTTGTTGGACGAAGCTGGGTTCTGCCTGTACTAGATCTTGGCCGTTGCGATAGCTGCGTCGGTAGGTAAGTGCATGTACCCAGTCGTCATGGGGCAAGACCCGTGCTACCTTCTACATAGCTCGTTTCGCCCAGTCATGAATTGGCTTGCGGTCCTTCGAAGATGTTTGTCACTTCCTCTTTCCTTTACCGAGGTTGTGAATATGGAGATCCCTAATGTGCTCCCCATTTCGCGCTCCACAACTGAAACTAGCACTTCACCCTAACCTGAAATCGCCGCAAGGGGTAACCCTGTTGATCACATAGCTCGCCCGAGTCCTCATCCAAACAGTATGATGTTCTCCGTATTTTCCTGCGCCATGTGGACACCGGCAAGTTGTGAGTCGGCAACACCTTTGCTATTCCGAACATACTATGACTTCAGCTTAGGAAGGAAGGACGAAGGAAACCAAGACCATTCCCGGTTTTCTTCTTCCTTTGGCTATTTATTTCCCAAGGATGCTTTCAAATGTGGCACAGCGAGGCAAAAGAGTAAACGACTAAGTGCAAAAGGAAATGCCCAGTAACAGGATTGAACTGTTGACCTTCGCATCACTTGATATAGCAGGCTATATTAGTACGACGCTCTAACCAGCTGAGCTAACCGGGCTTTTGTGACTTGATGCTCGACAGGCAAGTTTCCCACGTTTTGAACTGCTCGCGAGCTATTCACCAGCCCCCACCACAGGAGTGACCGTGCCCGCTGCGCGCGGGCACGCCAAAGGAAGCCTGGAGGAACTTGCCGGCTGCAGGTAGGCCCCATAGCGGAGTCAACGATGTAATTGTTAAAGGCGGAAGAAGAAGCCATCTTGACTGCAATGGAATTATAAACAGTAATTATCAGGAGATGATTCTAGTTTCGGTCAGAAAATCGGGATGGAAAGAATGTATTGAGTTCCTTGGATTGGGAAAATGGAGCACCGCGGTGTAAAAAAGGTGGCCTCTAGCACCGGTTTGACCTCATCGCCGATGTATGACGCCGCATTCTTGAGTCTCCAGTAAGCTATATCGTCATCTAGGGGCTTCAGTAATCAGATCCCGTAAAGATTAACCTCTGTGGCGTAATCTCACAGAGCTGATAGGTTCCGTGTATTTTGTGTGTCAAAGAAGCAATTTGCTTCGCTACCCTTCGTCACGTATTCCTGCTGAGCCAGGCAATCTTGGCAATGTTGACGTTCTCTGGAGTCGTGGTTCCAGGAATGGGACGTCATGGCCGAATCCGCGCAGACTGAAGCTGCTGACGAAGAAGCGGGTGCGTCGCTCTAGTAGTATAGTTAACCCATAATAGATGTTGACCCTGCAAACCTCATCTTTCGCCACTTTTTGACAGAAATCCGACTTTTTTGTTCGTGTTCGTGATTGTCGAGGATTGCGCGACGGAGGCACGCAAAGGCACGAGCGAAGCAGCGAGTCACAGGGGCCTTGATGCCAAAGTGCGGGTAAGCGGCTTTTTCCCGGCGATTTGATTGGCCAGAACAAAGCAACAACGGTCCGTGCACCACCACCGCCAAGACCAACTGCGAGATGCCAATTCGAGGAAGCAAAATGCAGATGACGCCAGACTTCGAGATGGCTATCGAGAGAAGTCAAAAAGGGAAAAAAAGCCAAAATTCTACAGTGAGAAGTCGACAGTACAGGTTAGAAATGACACCGTTTTGTAGGGTTTTTTTGGGGGTTTTTTTTATGGAGAAAAAACTGGTTCGTGCTTAGAGCAGGCCATGGCATTTTTGACCTAAGGAACCTGGAGTTCCTCCAGGCACCCCCTTTTTGCTTACCTAGGATATCTTAATATAGTTAGTTAACTACCTGCTCTTTGGGCACTCAGTAACCTCATCTTTCTTTATTACAAACCACCCTCTCTAAACTCCTCTCAACAGTAGAACTCTGCGCCTTGAAAAACACACTATGCATTTGCATTTCCCCCAGCCTTATTCGCCTCGACATCATCACCCTTCTCCCACGAGTCCCTCCATCTCCACCGCCGCCGTGGCTTCAGACCCGGTCCCGCCAGGACACCAGACCAAGGTCCCGATTGTCCGTGCTTCTCCCAATGTGCGTCCGTTATTTCGGTCGGCCTATCTAAGCCGCTTCTATCCTTCGCCGGGGCCAGACGAACTGGAGTCAAAGATTGGAAGAGGGCGACAATGTATGGGATGGCCTTTTGACGGTCAACAAACAATATGGAGCCGATAACGACCATGTAGGTCACCAACGATACCACGACCATGGTTATGGTGTAAGGTCTTTTGAGACCGGAGAGATCGGTGTCGTGCACGAGATCCATGCTGAAGATTGCCTAGATTGAGGGTTTAGTTAATACCATCTAGCCGATATTCTGGGGCCGTTGAACTTACCGTGACGAACCCGAGGGGTAGGTAGAAAATGGTGATTGTTGTGAAGATGATTATGGACCGATTCATGGACGTGGCTTTGTGCGCTTCCACCAGACTGCTTGCGTTGAAAAGCTGCAAGTATGAAGTCAGGTTAGGCAAAGGGGGCAGGGAAATCTCGTGCTTACCCCATCACGCAAACCCCTGATCTCATCCGTCTTTGCGTCGATGCGTCTGCCAAGTTCGCTTTCCAGCTCGTGAAAATGACACATCATCGCGTCCCAGTTCTGGTGCACGAGCCCGGCATACCGTAGGAACGGGTGATGGTCTGCCCCTTGAATAGGGTTGGAGATGGTGATGTTGCATTCGTGACAGAGTTTCTCTAGATCGTACTTCGTCTCCCGTATCCACAACGGCATGATCCGGAGGAGGTGGAGGAGCTGGAAGTAGACTTTGGAATGGGCGAGCGAGTCACTGAGCATGAGGTTCTCGGCAGATTTCGGGTTGAGAACATCCGTGGGCCGTAAATAGTTGCAGGATTAGCAGGCAAGGAAGTCAACAAAGGGAGTTGGTGGAATGTTTGGGAAACGCAAGAGTACACCTACCTGGACTTTCACACAATCATCAATCTCGTCCAAAAGACACATCCAGCCTTTGTACCAAGCATGCTCAAGAATGCCATCCAAGGCGAGCTGCAGGACGCTGATGCTGCTTTCACCGATGACGTGTATCCGACGAGACGAGGAGTCAAACAGCTTTGGGCCCAAGTTGGAGCGGTCCACTGGGAAATCTTGGAGGATGACTGTGCTGAAGATGGGCGGAATGCTCAAGGAGCTCACAAAACGGAGCGAGATTCTACCTTCTCTTACCGACACCGCCGGCCGGTTGCCGGGTTTCGGTAACAAGCCCCATTCTCGCTCAAGCGAAAGGCCGACAAACCCTGGCAATGGTTCGGTTGGGCAGAGCCAACGCATGGAAAAGTGAATCATGACCATCCGAGGTGCCCCGGTGAGTCGGAGGACGCAAGGGTACAATAGCCATTCGCGGGCAAGACGCCAAGAACCGAGATATGAAACTAAGAATCTGCAATGATAGCGGCGGTCGGCGTCCAAGGCCTGGAATTGTTGCCGCACTTGCAAGGAGAGAATGAATGCGGCCGATTTCAGATTCATGACTTCCCGGCCTAAAGTGATCAACCTAGTGCCCGAGGGATGGGTGTTAGCAAACCTAAGTTGCGGCCAGTTGCCAGGGGTTCTAGGTTTTGCTGACCAGATCTGCCCGATGTGCATCTCTCCGGGATCCCGGTTATTGGAGTTGGGGTTCACTCGGAGATATTGAACTGACTGTACTCCTTCGTCAAGGCGATATGACATCCGCGGTGCCTGAAGCTGAAATCCGGCCCTGGTGGGACGTACATACAACTGGTGAACAAACGTGCTGTGAAAACTGGATCCGCGGAAGCCCCAGATTGAGCAGCCGTCTTGACCGGACTCGAGTGGCTCAGGAAACGTGTTCCAGATTGCCCGCACCAGACTTGAAGGCCATTCCCTTTGGATAAAGTTCAGGCAGGCCTCCGACAAGCCCGGAGTTGGTTTCTCATTCGGTGAATGGAGAGTGAATCTGAACGGTGCGGATGGGGCCAAGTCCGTGAACAAAACCAGGATGGCATTCCGAAACGTCCAATGCGTCCCGTGTGTGCTTCGCGGGTATTCCACCATGGAAAAGACGGAGACTGGCTCGCCTCCGATCTTGCAATCACATGGACTGATTGCAGTCTTGAGCTCTTGGAGGATCAACAGCAAAAGATCTGGGGTGGGGAAGCATTCTAACATAGCCAACTCTTCTTCTGTAGGGTGACCTGGTTGGTTGGCATGAGTGAGCGAGGCCACACCGGCCTCGTTGTTGGTTGAGATTTCTTGAACGTTCTGCTGTTGTTCATGTGCGGTGATTTGTGTACCGGACTGGTGGGAACTTAAAATTTGCCCGGATCTATGGGCGTTGAAAATGCTGACGTTTTGACGAATCGTTTCGACCCCAGCCACGAGCTTTTCTAAGAGAGCAATCACGTTATTAGGGGTGTCATTGCTGTCACCTTTGTTGGTCTCCATGGTAACACCGTCAGCTTGGGAAGGTTGGGTGCTCATTAGAAGAAGAGAATAGTTTCTTCAAAAAGGGGAGTGTGGGTGGTGAGTCTTGTCGGGTTGAAGGCAGGGACTGGCCAGCGGACTGACCACCCCCCAAACCTGAGAACACCTCGACTGATATAACAGTTTCAGTCGAGGAACTGGAGCGTGATACACATGCTGCAGAACTGGATACAAGCCGGTATTATTGTAGCCTTGTCATGTCGAGAAACCTTGTATTTACCGATTACCTACCCAGCGGAATGGCTAATATTGTGGCGTGTGTCATGTTATTCTGCCTTGTATACTCCTGTGACGGATGAATACGGCATGCGAACCACAGGCTTCCCTCGAGGTTGAGGGGTACGAGGAGCGAATGAGGTACCACATGATGCAGAAGCCATGGGCTCGGCCGGACTGGCTACCTAGGTGGACTTTGTATCACGCTCACGCAGCAATGTACGCTTTGGGTGCAATTGGTGTGCGACATGATGCGGCTACCTGCCGGGCAAGGCCGTCCGAAAATGGAAGTATTATTACCAGCAAGCGTACCAGTCAGGGATGAAAGGATGCCCACCGTGGTCCGTCACTGGTTGGAAGATCTAAGCCAATTCCCAGTAGTTTCAACCACGCATCTCCTACTTACTCAAAGGGCCTCCTCTAAAATGATCGATGGCGTGAAGCCTTCATAGAAATCCTGAGTATTATGCACCCCAAACCTTGCAACTGTCTGCCATGGGTTTAATCACATTCTCGCAATACCTCTTCTGAAACTCGCTACCTATCACCCCATTCCCACTTCCTCCCGGCGCAGATAGCAAGACACTTTTCTATTGCATCCAGATAATCTGGCAGGACCCGGTGCGTGGTTTATTGTAGCCATGCCGTCGCGGCAATCTTTCGATGGTCAGGAGTCTTAATCTCCCGGTTCGCGTTGGCTACCCACACTTCCAGAGGCTTGTGGTGACACTAAAACTGGCCTTTCTTTTCACCAAGATGTTCTTTGGAACCCCTCATTTCAACGCCTACAAAGAATTCCAGCCTGTCATCGCCACAGCCTTCGCGCCCCCAACCAGAGGTAGAACGAATCACAACCCGGGCAGACCCTCGCGTGTTGTCGAGATGATGATAGAAAGCGCGGATGACCTGGCCGACATTAGCCGGGGCTTCTCCAAGATTGCGTCTTGCTACACTATCACGAGCTTTTACGAGACACTGCCTTGGCAGGGCACGACAAATGTCATCGTTGGCAAGATTGCAGCTCGCACGTTTCTTCCCAACGAGTCGTGTGTGCCCGTGGAAGCTGATCACTTTCGGATGTGTCAATTTGAGGATGACAGTGATGCAACTTTCATGTTCGTTTCCAGGGTCATACAGGAGGCGGTACCAAGGGAAGAATTGGAGAGACCCCCTTCTCTGGATCTACGGTCGGGCAGCTCTGATAACATACCTTAAATGACACCCGGCTCCCCACAATCTTGAGCACCACTTGTTTAACGCGGCCTCCCTCGACGCCCCGCGTCGGAAAGATGACTCGTGAGCGAGATAGTGGGGGCGCCGGGGGCTCTTGACCATAACCGTGCTGCCCACATTAGCCTCCTGGTGCGCGAGACGGGCAGCTGCTACTCTGGTCGAGCACGACGCCACCACAACCACCACGTCTCGAGGGCAGTCGGTGTTTGCACCAGGCCGACAAGAAATGATGACACGGCGGCACCGGTCCGACGACGGTCGCAACAGCACAAACGAAGATTATGAGAAGATCGCACGCAGGCCCATCTAATGTCGATCTGGCAAACAATGCCTCTCGGCGATAAAGGGGGGGTTGTTACAAGAAGGTGTATATAATAAACCTCTTATAGCAACCGGATAAAAATGTACGGCGAAGAAGTCACCTAAACTGCGAGTGCTCGCCCAAATGCTACATGAAGGGGCTCAGCACCTGCAATTCTTTCCCCGACAAGCTGACCGCTGACACGAGCACGGGCTGCAGTCCTTGGGTACGAGCTTGTTTCTGTGACTGCTGCAACCATTTCAAGATTGGGAGGATTTGGATAAACTGTTCACCCGCTCGGTCTTTCAAAGCCATGTCTTTAGTTTCACCTCACGGCCCGGTCCTGTGGATGGCTGGTTTCCCTGCCCCTTTTTCTTTACATATCGCCTAGTTATCCGGATCGACATACCAAGGATGGCATAATGATGACGTGTTTGAAACGCAAGGTTTGTTTTCTTCCTTCTTCCAACCGATGACAGCATGATGAGTTGATCTCATTGGGTAGACGCTTCATGGAACTCGCTTTTTATGCGACGTTTACGTGCTGCTCCTGCCCCTGGTCATGGAGGGCGAATGGCGTCCCACGTTGACAACCGATGCACCCCGGAGAGATGTCAGTCTGTTGACAACGCCACCCCACGCTTTCCTGCCCCAGTGACGCGGCTCCAAAGTTACGACTCTGCGACTCGCCAAACGGTGAATCCGGGCCCGTACCCTCTCTAATCTCTTGCTTCAAGCATCATCGTGTAATGGGAGGCTGTGCAAAAAACTGTCGTCGGTGAATGATGAGGTGGAGGTCTCGCAGGGGATTGCAAGGGCGTAATTCGGGTCATGGTCGCTCGGCTTTGTCGCAGTTAAGGGGCGGAAGCTGTAGTATATAAAATCTCAACGCGCTGGCGTTCCTACCGTAGGTCTTCAACCCGACCTCTCCCTCTACTAAACCCTACATCACTCTGAGCAACGCAACGTGTCAACATGAAGACCTTGTTTCTCCTTACCCTTGCGGCATTTACCCCGGTGTTTGCGGGATTCGACACCTGGGCACCCCCTGGACCATATGATGGTAACGACGAACAGAGGGAGCATCACAAAGACGTTACTAATCAGTACCCTTACACGCAGTGCGAGCCCCGTGCCCCATGCTCAACACTCTTGCGAATCACGGCTTTCTCCCCCACGACGGCCACGAGATCACCAGGGAACAGACCGAAAACGCGCTGTTCGATGCCCTTCATATTGACAAGATGCTGGGTAGCTCCCTCTTTGACTTCGCCATGACCACAAACCCAGTCGCCAACTCGACGACATTCTCCCTGAACGACCTCGGCAACCATAACGTGCTTGAGCACGACGCAAGCCTAAGGTATGATTGCGGCACCAACTCCCTCACACTCACGGTCCGGCCCCCGTACTAATGCTGGTGTGTAGCCGGTCGGATGCTTACTTCGGCAACACGCTCACGTTCAACCAAACCGTTTTCGACGAGACCAAGTCATACTGGACAGACGAGACCGTCACCATCGAGATGGCCTCGAATGCCAGGCTGGCCCGCATCAAGACCTCGAATGCGACGAACCCGACGTATTCCATGTCGGAGCTGGGCAATGGCTTTACCAAGGGAGAATCGGCCGCCTACGTCGTTATATTTGGCGACAAGATCTCTGGCACAGTTCCGAGGGCTTGGGTTGAGTGGTTGTTCGGTGAGTATCGCCGAGTTAGTGAGAAAAGCGAAAAGCGAAACTAACGAACCTCTGAAAAGAGCACGAACAGCTGCCTCAACACCTTGGTTGGAAGAGGCCGACCGAGTTGTTTCGGGACGGTGACCTGGACAAATACATGGACGCGATGCAAAATGTTATAGTCGGTGAGACCCCTGGATGCCCGGCAGGCAAACAGCAGCAGCGCAAGGGTCGCCGCACACCTTCCCACTTTGGCTGGTAATCGACGCAAGGGTTTAGATAGTCGACAGCGAGTCAGTAAATACGGATATGATGTATCAAAGCAGCAAAACAGACCCCAGAAAGAGGGGGCATTTTAAGGTACTGTACTAGGGATCCGACGCCTGTCAATAAACTCGCCTCTTTGAGAATCGCAGGATATTGTCACGGTCATTGTAAAGAACATTGTACCGTTTATGGCCAATCTTGTCTATAATTCACAGAAATAGCCCTCAAAACACAACCTTCCACCCCCTCAATCAAGCCCACCCAAACTCCAAGCTCACCGACACGGCTCCTCCTGAAACGTCTCGGCCGACAACTCATGCTCATAGTACCTCGCCCAATCCGCCTTCGTGTGCTCAGGAATACTCCACCCCTCCGCCTCATCACGAAAAATAAGCCGCGTGAGATGGCGCCGAACCTGCTCATTCTCGCCGTCCACAAACGGGCTACGAGCATGCAGAAACGCTAGATTGTTGAAGAAGTTGATATCGCCGACCTGCTGATTGACGGATATGGCTTTCTCGAAGAGTTCCACTCCTTGAACAGTAGAAAATCACTCCTTGAACAGTAGCCCCACTAAACCTGGCCCTATAGGCCCAGTGCCTCCGGGCGAAATAAATTCCATCCAACCCACTAAACCTCTCACCGCCTAATTATTATTATTATTCATACTCCGCTATGCCCTAGGGCGTGCCGGACCCTCAGCTATTTAGTGTAAGGAAAACCGTGCCCTCCGGGGCCGGGTGAAAAACCCATACCAACAATCAAGGAGCGATGCGTTTTAGTGAGCCTACATATACAAAGAGAGGAGGCCTCCTGGCCTCCGAACGGGGGCGCTTCAGGCCGCCGCTTCCAGCTTGAGCCTCCTGGCTAAGTTGTACATCGGCAGCTTCCCCGAGTCCATCAGCCAGTCGAGAACTCTCCTCGCGAGCCGTGCAGTCGTGGGATTGATGCCGTGTAGAACAGAGTAAAAGTCCCGTCGTGTCCGAATTCCAGTTCTCTCCCATCTTCTAGTCAACGGTGGGGCCAAACACCACACTACCAGGTGTTCGGCAGTCTCTCGTCCCTCGCCACACTCGCAGGCAGGAGTCAGAACCTCCGGGACTCCCCGTGTAAACAAGAAGTCCCGTAAGCCTATGGCTCCCGTCCGGATTTGAATCAGCAGTGAGCTCTTTGCCTTGTTGAGACCGTCGTGCCTCCTTAGGGTTTCGTTCCGGAATAGCGTCTCCTGCTGATGGTCAAAGTCGTCCGCCGGCCTGGTGATTGCCCTGCCGTTCCGTTCCTTTAACCACCTCGCTTTCCAAGCCTCTTCTACTACCCTGTTCGTATCAACGGTTACCCCCGTCCAGCGCATGACCGTGCCCACATCAGTGCAATTGGGCGTCGGGCCCAACACAAAACTGTGCTGCACCGCAAGCAACCACACAGCCTTGCCGGGTGGTCGGATAATGCGGGCAACAAGATCGGAGAATTGGCACCTTCGGTTCGTTACAGCTCCTTTATGGAGGTCCACACCACTGTGTCATTTTGCGGCCACCCCGTTTGATTCTACCTAGTGCGATACAGGCATTACGTGCGTTGCAGCCAGTTTGTGACAGTCGATTGCATCCGGTGAGATGCAGTTAATTGCACCCACGGCCACCGGGGTTTTTTTTTTTACAGTTGGAGCTTCAAGCCTCCGTCCTCATCCTGGCTTCTTTTTCGCATGCCCGATTGGACCCCCGTTTGCGTGACCCTGGGGGGCTTTTCCCGATTTGGCACACCGGTTAGGGTGCTTGCACTGAGAGCACAGTCGTTGTTGGAGAGACCGGTCCAAAAACAGAGGACTAACAACTCGCCGAGCAGACAGCGACACAGCTGGTCGTAACCGGTGATTCCCTTTTGGAAAGTCCACCAAAACTCCAGACTGTCCGCCCGCCCTAGCAATGTCAGTGCTGGCGGGAGCTTCCTACTCACCTGGAGGCGAAAATTACCTAGGTAGGTAGGTAAAGAAGTAGGTACCTACCTAGTCTATCTTGTCCATAATCATGATCCATTCCATCCCGATAGCATTCACCTTGGGTGCCAATCGTCGAGACCTAAAAGAACTCTCTGTTTCCCACCGAACGAACAATCAGAGGTTGTGACCTGCACGCGAGCGACGATTAGCGCTTTTATCGCAGGGCATGTTCGAGCTTTACACGGCAGTGGCTTGATATAGATAAACGCAGAGAGGGGATATACATTAGAGAGGGTATATTTCGACCATAGGGTTGGGTTCTTTCGACTGTAACTCTCATATATAACCCTAACCCAGGGTAAAAAAGGTACATCCAGCTTTCTGCCACCCGCTGCACCGGCCCACCCAGCATGAATTCTGCCGGCCCAACCGACATCTGCCTTTTCCACCCAACCAAGCCAAACTATCGCCGTCATCTCGTGGAGAAGGCTGCCATAGTGGTGGGGTGGGTGCTTGGACTGGGGAGGCTGAACGAGTTCCGGCTGGCGGTAGAGCTGGAAAATGAGAACAACGAAGAGGCCCGCGGCGGGGCCGAAGCGGAGTAGCAGAAGGGCATCGATGGAACAGAGGTTACGACTCATTTTATCTATTTCGTTACTTTGACCTCGGAAGGTGGGTGAGCCCTTTCGAGGAGATGGATCCACGGGGTAGCGGCAAGGCCGCAGCGGAGGTGCGGAGGTTTTCATCCAGCTTAGGCATGGTTTTTCCTACCGAGTTAATCGCTGAGGGACCGCATGTACTTAGTACCTAGCGTGATAAGAGAAATAATAATATCGCCGTCATCTCCGCCCCAGCGATCACGATCGCCAACAGCCGGAATCAATTGCCCCAAGTAAGCGCTATCGATAGGAACTACTAACTAAGATAGCTACGTAGTTAGCCAGACCGGAGGGCAGTTAATTCGATCAATTCTGGCCTCTTCGAGCAATTAAAACGATCTCATTCAATTGAACGTCGGTTTGCGTTGCGACCGACCGATGCGACCGGGGCTGACCGCCTTGGAAAGTGGGGCGAGGAGCAGGTCCCGCAGTCGAAAGAGCTGAGACCTACAGTCAAAATATACCCTCTCATACATTAAGGACGAGCTCAAAAGCTTCGGCGCCGCTGGCAGAGAATCTGTGCGCGTGTTATGTACAGCGTCTTCGGCACTGCTTGCATGCGGCACGGTTGGCACGGCACCAACGTTAATCGTTTGTCTCCCGGATTGTCTTCGTCTTATGCCCATCTCCTGGAGGGAGCGGAGAATCGCATGAACTGTTGTTATCGGGAGCCCGGCAACATGCCACGGAGATCCAGAACGTGGGAAGGGATATTACTCCTTGTCCATATACAGGTATCCAGTCCATGTACCATAGACTTCCCTCTGCCACACGCTATAGGTGTTCGTCTTAACTTGAGCCGCGTTTGTACCACTCCCACCCACTCATCTCATCTCTTTCGTTGCAATCTGCTCCGGCAAGCGACCGCCCCCCGCTAGTGATCGATACAAGTGTTTGGTTGTATATAGGTACTTTGGCGTCACACGCAGTTTAGGAAGTTGGACGGGAGCCAGTAAATCCCGGTATATCAATCATATTAGTATCAAACCCCGGAAGACCGGGCATCTTATACGTAGTTGGCCAACGACGGTACCTAGGTACAGAATAATTAAGACAATCTACCTGACCGGCTACAACTCCGCTCCTCGCCCAGCCATGTTGGTACAGATAGTTTCTGTTTGAGTGACATCCATCTCTGGCAGCAATCTGAATGGCCCCCAAACCTCAAATGCTCTGGGCCCCCAGCCGGCAGTCCCCACCTCCCGGGGTAACGGGTAATTTGAAAAGCAGGAAGCGGTTAACCGTTTAATGTCAATGCTTGGTCCTTTGTCCAGAAGCGGTTGGCCTGTGTGAACAAGCCTGGGATCTGCCCCGTCCTCCCCCCAACCGTGTTGGTTTGACTGGTGGTCTTGGAATGGCTTGGGGGTGAATACCCACAAACTCAAGCCGTCCATCTGCATGAGCTGGAACCGATGGAGATCATTGTCAGCTTGCATACGCACCATTGTGGCTTGGCGAACCTTGCAGAAAACAGGACCACAGTTGGCGGCCCCATTCGACACGCTGCTCTATGATGCTGCTGGTATAAAATCCACCTTGCTTGTCTCCCGTTCTAACCAGCATCTTGGTGCCACCGTGGCTGTTTCCCTGGCCGTCTCGTAGTCCTTGTCTCGATACCCCATACAAAAAGAGACAACGACACCATGAAGAGTAACGTCTTCAGCGTGTTGTACGGCACGCTTCTTCTGGCCCAGGTTGCGATCGCCCAACTCGAGCCAACTCTAGGTTTAAAATCTTCAGGATGGGTGTTGCGGCGGGAAGGCGGTACGAATTACGAGTGCAAATGTTATCCCGGCGACGACTGCTGGCCCAAAGAGGGTCAATGGCAAAAGCTCAACAGCACGGTGGACGGGAACCTCCAGGTCAACATCCCCCCTGGAGCTCCGTGCTACAACACCTTCAAGGGACCTTTCGGAGAACTGGAGACGTACGATAAAGCCGAATGTGAGAAGGTGACCTCCAACTGGCCCAACGAACAATTTCAGTAAGCCGGCCTCGCACCACACTTTCGGAATTGATGATCATGTGGTGCTAATGGAATTGTTCCAAGGATTGAGTTGCCCGCCGCTGGGCTCTGGACCTACTTCACCAATGACACCTGCCGCCCAACGACAACTCCAACCGACACCTGCACTCTGGGGTACTACCCGGTGCTCGTCATCATGGCCAAGACGTCTGCTCATATTCAGGCCGGAATTAACTTTGCCCGGGACAACAACCTGCGCTTAATCATCCGTAACACCGGCCACGACTTCCTTGGCCGAAGTGTTGGTTGGGGATCCCTCGTCATTAACACCCACAGCTTCCAAGATATCAAGTTCTCGGATTCCTGGCGCGGAACCTGCGGCTACAACGGTTCTGCCGTTACCGTCGGCGCTGGCGTTCAAGCCTTCGAGGTCCTCAAGCGGGCCAATGCCATGAACCCTCCCAAGATCATAGTGACCGGAGAGTGCGCCGTGAGTTGGACCCACTCACATTCGACCTACACATAGATCCAAACCTAACCCAAGACTCAGACAGTTGGTGTTGCTGGCGGCCTCGTCCAAGGCGGCGGCCACGGCCCACTAACCAACCTCCACGGCTTCCTCGCCGACACAGCCCTCGAATTCAAAGTCATCACCGCCGACGGCGCGCTCAAAACCGCCAGCGCCAAAACCAACCCCGATCTCTTCTGGGCGTTACGCGGCGGCGGCCCGGCCACCTTCGCCGTCATCCTCGAAGCCACCTACAAAACCTTCCCCGACCCGCCCAGCGCAGGCATCAACCTCGACATCCCCCCCGCCGCCACCGCCAACAACCCCACCCTCTTCTGGGCCGCAGTCCGCACCTTCCACCGCTACAGCACGCACTTCATCGACCACGACCTGTACGTGTACTACGAACTCGGCACCGCCGGCCAGAACCTGCACGTGCACCCCTTCGTGGGCGTCGGCAAGACGCTCGCCCAACTACAAACCATCCTCCAACCCTTATTCGACGACCTCGACGCGCTGGGGGTCAACTACACGACCTCCGGCGGCGCCGAGTACGCCACCTTCTACGACCTGTACCAGGCCATGTTTGAGGGTGAGGCAGCGGGCAACTCAGCACTCACGGGCGGGTGGGCGCTGGGCCGACGGGATGTGGAGGAGAACCATGACGGGGTGGTGGAGGCGTTTCGGAGCGTGCTGGATGCCGGGTCGTTTATGATCGGGCATATGTGGAGTGCTGGGCGGGGGGTGCCGAGGGAGGAGTGGGGGAAGAGCGCGGTGAATCCGCGGTTTCGGGACGTCGTGGACAAGATTATCACGCTGGTGCCCGTGGCCGGGAACGCGCTGCTGGCGGAGAAGGCTGCTGCGCAGGAGAGGCTGACGAATGTGGTGGATAGGGCGCTGAGGGAGGCCGCGCCGAATGGGTGTGCTTATGTCAATGAGGTGAGTTTGGTGTGGGTTTGGGGGGGAGGTGGTGGCCGCTGGTTAGGGGATGGAATGGTGCTAACTGTTTGGGAATAGGCAGACCCGTACGAGCCGAACTGGCAGGAGGCTTTCTGGGGTGACAACTACCCCAGGTTGTTGGAGCTCAGGAAAAAGTATGACCCTAACGGGGTCTTTTATGCGGTATCGACGCCGGGCACCGAGGACTGGGAGCAAATTGAGACGGGCACTCGCCTCTGCCGGAAGCTTTGAGCACGGGGTGGCAGAGAGCAGCAATCTTGATTAAGAACATGCGGTAATATGCCGTGGCATCACTTTGAGACACTTGGGTACATGTACTTTGGATCCGCGTGAAGCAGGGTGGTTGAAAATGGGCTAACCTATTTGCGCCACAACAATCTCTCACAAACTTGCTAGAATAGAACCCACTCGGGGATCGAAGATGACAGGCAAGCGCCTGTAGGAAATAGGTTGACGTCATAATATCCCGAGAAAGGAAAGAAAAGGCTTAACTGGCAGGAAAATATCTCGACCTCCACCAAGAAGTTTTATCAGGAGTGTCTAGCAAGCCTTCTAAGGCCAAAGGCGTTCTCTTTCGTCGAGAAACGGCGTCCCCAGTACCAGGCCAACTGTAGAGTTCTCGCACACATCGCAGGTAATAATTAGCGACGGATAGCGTACGTCGGCATGATTCCAAGGTCTCCACTTGAAAGTTGTCTTCCCGAAACTCCTCTCAAGCTTTCCGGTCCCGAAGTCAAACATAACGTTCTCGGTCAAACTCGGAGAGTCAATGTCCAGGTTCAATTCCCGGGCTTTGTGGATGGAGATGAAATTTCCGTCCAGAGACTCAACCACGGATGCCGTGGTTTGGCGCCAGCGAGAGAGATCGGCTATGTTGTTCATGTCAGTGACGTAGCCGCTCGTGACTGCGGTCACATCATCTTTCCCATAGCGTAATGTCTTGTGGATGTCTGACGGTGGTTCTGAAAAATCCTCAGAACTAAGCACTGGGCCGATTTCACTGACCGGAGGATCTGGCGGTTCAGGGGAAGCTTGCCGTGGTAAGTGGACGGGATGTGGCGTGGTGGAACGGCGACGTCGCCGCGACCGGCGATGAGTATCTGGTGGCTGGCTAGAATGATTCGGGACGGAACTGGACGGCGAGATTGGAGGAGAAATGGGAATCCTTCCACTTTCATATATACTCCAACCTAACTCGATCAAAGCATTCTTCCTCATCAGGTCGGGGTCCAGGGAGTCCGATGACGCCTCGCGCTCAGAATAATGATTATGGCCGAGCGGCGCGGGCAAATCTTGCATCGCCATGAGATGGTGTTTGATCAAACGTCGTAGGCGGCGCCTGCATTTGGTTCAAAAGAAGTCAGAGCTTCTGTGTCAGCCTTCTCATTTGAAGGGGTTGAACCCACATTTCTTTCCTCAGCCCCTTGTTTGATTCCAGGTCCTCCCCTCCAACCATGCCCATCATTCTGTCCTCGAATTGAGCCGTGGCCATCAACAAACCCAGGCTGTTTTTGATGCTCTCCATTTCCGAAGACAGCTCCCATATCGACGACCTAGTATTGAACGCCCATTTAAAGCTGGCCCACAATATTGACCTACTTTCCATGTTGACAACCCGGTCTTGGATAGCCAGAAGATGCAACCGGATAGCTCCTGCTTCACTATCAATGTCGGCGAGTATTTGGTGTCGCCCTATGTAAGCCACAAGGCGAGACTCCGGGTGCTGGCAGAAGTAATGGGACAGAGTTTCCTCAGTGAGCTCGATCGTGTTCGAAAACGTTCGGACCTGGTTTGCAAAGCGTGCCACTTCGGCGCCATGAGCTATACCGGCGTTCACAGCGAATCGCTGTAGTGTTTTGAAGAACCGTCTTCCCGCTCTGGAAAGCTGCAGGACAGCTTCCATCTCGTCTACGACCTTTTGAACCGCGGCCGTGGTTGTTGTTCAAGCTTTCCAAAGCTCCTGTAGCTCCAAAACGGCAGTGTCAATAGTGTAGAGTTAAGATTCGGGTGCTTCGATTGACTTGACACAAATCCCGAGTTTGTTGTGGGAATGACCACACGTCCAAATATCAACTTGCCTGGTATCACGACCCGTCTACGTGCGCCATCGATCAACGATGCACTGCCACCAACAACTAATGCCTACGGACTGTGAGCGGTTAGGCCAGCACACCACCTTTCGCCTTTACAATGCACGTCTCAAGGCTTTGCTGCAGGTCGTCTAGCAAAAGCTGTGGTTCGCGTCCCACTGGGCGGGGGTGGGCTTTGTCAAGAACAAGGCAATCATTCCGGCGCCCAATACGCTGTGCAGGGGAGATAGAATTCAGCCCGGGAATCAACCCCGCAGTCATGAAAGATGGAGTGCTTCACGGGATCGGAATCTCGCCATTCTGGTTCGTGGATAGCGCGTGGGTGTCACGGTGTTATGGCCGCCTGCAGCCGGCCGGCGGGATACGCTGGCAGTATCCCGAACCAATCATTGGGGAGGACTACACGGCCAATGAGACAGCGGTCCCATCGCTCATGAAGGGCAATGCCAAGAGAATGAGCAAGTGTTCGTTCTTCTGCTCAACAAGGGAGCTATGAGCACTCTGAGCAACCCGTGCTCAGAATGCTCAGCGACAGGTCCCTGAGCACTTTGAGCACACGAGGATAGCCAGTATATAGTCACTCGTTCTGGAGAGCTCTGGGAGTTCTCCAGTTAGCAATCACAGCTACAGTTCGCTACAAGCTCGGAAGCCTACTGTTAAGACAAGTCTTTGTTGTGCACCCTTTGGCTGCACCGAACCTAAGCACCCTTGAGAGATTACCTTCAACCAAAGCTGAACCCTAACAGGACAGGGTCCTGAAGTAGGTTCGTCACAGTGGGGGATGCCCAACGGCCCGGATTCAAAGCGCAATCGAGAGGGATATCGGGCCGGCGGGAAGGGTAGGGAGGTACTTAACGACCAATCTCAAGAAATCTGCCTTGCTGGAGGAAAAGAGACGATTCGGTCAAAGACAAGGTCGACGCGCGCTCAACTCAATTTCCCCAAACTCATTCCCCCCTTCATTCTCCCTTCGAATTCGCAGCTCTCACCATCGAACACTCAACGTAACCCCCGTCCAAATAAACAAGTTTCTCCAAAACCTCAAACCCAAACCTCTCAAACAATCCTCTCCCCTGGGGCGAAGCCTCCAAGTATGCCTCGACCCCATCCCCATCCACCTTCTCCACCCCCCACTGCACCAACTTCCTCCCAATCCCCATCCCCTTGATGTCCGGCTTCGTAGAGATCAACTCCAAATACCAATGCGCCCGCCCACCCATAAACCGCTCATGCTGCTTCGCCTGCGCGCCAAAATACACCTTCGCCAACTCCTTATCCCTCACCAACTCCCCCAACACATCTCCCCCCCCTTCTCCCCCCACCTCCTCACCACCACCACCCCCAAGCCCCGAAACAGCACTCCCCGCAATCCCCGGCAGCGCGTCCCCCTCCCCCACAAACACCCACTTCGCGAACCCCAATACCTCGCCCGAGGCCGCGTCCTCGGCAATAACCAGATGGGTGTTGTTGTTAGTGGCGTCCTGGAAGACGGCGCCGACAATGGCGGTCCAGAAGCCGAGCTCGACCTCGTCTGAGATGGGCGCCATGTGCCGGATGAGAGCGGAGGGGCGGAAGGCGGCGTAGGCGATGGCGGCGCAGGGGGTGATGTCGGCTGGGGTGGCGGGGCGGAGGGTGGGTTGGGGTGCCATTGTTGGGTTGTTGATGGTGGTTGGTTTGGTTTGGTGTAAAGGTTGTTGGGAGATGAACGCGGGTGACAAAATAGGTTGGTACTGGAATTAATAGTTGTGATGTCGGGCTTGAGGAGGAGCACGCTGATGTGTATTGTTTGGAAAACGGTCGAGGTGTGCTGAGGTGATGGCTGTGTCCAGAGAGTTTATTGTCGAGAGATACAACCTCCTTTTATATACCGTCTCCCTTCAACATGATACTGCAACATCACTCAAAGCTGCGCGTAACCAGCTAGTGTAAGCGGTGGCTCCATCCTGAGCCCCTAATCTTGGCATCCCAAGACCTTGACCCGCGGACGCCGAGCCCGAGAAGGCACAACGTCATCCCGACCCTCGGAAACTTCCAAGCCACGTTCTCGAGATCGGCAACGTGGCCCAGATCCATCTTAAGGTCACGTTAACCCCATGAAGCGCGCGTCTCAAGCAAGTGGAGTGATGCGACTCCCGGGCGCCGCGGAGCCCGGCCACGACACCTACCATACAAATCGGTGCCATAGCCGCCGGGGGGCTGCAAACCGAGCTGCTCCTTCAAGCTCTACTCGGATCTAGGCAAAACAAAAAGTCTCCATGGCACGCAAGTTGTGCCGTCCAACTCGGATCTCCAACTTGGCAGCACCGGGCAAAACGCGAGGAAAAATTGGGGTCCTCGGAGCTAACAGATCGCAACATAGGTACTTAGCTGTTAGCCAGGGCGAAGCAAGCCCGTACACGAAGCAGTTACCAAACAAGTCCCGGGAAAGAAAATCTTGATCTATGATATGCCAAAACCCAAACCCACTCCTCTATGCCCAACCGAACATCACCAACTCCCGCCGAAGCCGTGCATATCCGTCATCAAGAGGTATCATACATCTTACCAAGCCATGAACAGAGAGATGCGAACAACCTAGAAGCGAGGTCCCCCGCCCCAACGGAATCCATGGTCACCTAACACCACACACACATTAGCCCAACCACACATACAACACACCCGCTCGACGGTCACCGCCTCGCCCGCTTCCGGCTAGGTTCCTCACCATTGTTTCCCGCATCCTCGCCGCCCCACTGCGATTGCCGTCTGCGCCCATCAGGGTTGCCTCCCCGGCCACCCCTACCGCCACGACCTCCCCGGCCGCCGCCACGAGCAGGCCTCTCCCCACCACCAAACCCAGCCTCGCCATTGGCTTCACCACCAAACTTATCCTCGCCATCCCTCTCACCACCGCCAAACTTGTCACCACCACCCGACCTGTTCCCCCTAAACCGATCCCCGGCACCACCATTCCTCATCCCTCCTCGCGATCCACCACCCCTACCACCTCCCCTCCCCCCCGTAAACCGGCCCGAGCCCGGCGGCCCCCCGCGTATCTCGCCCTTCCCCTCCACAAACAAGCCCGGCACGCCCCTCAGGCCCATCTTGCCGACGGTCTGGGGCGTGAGGTAGGGGATCTCTTCGCAGCCGAAAGCGGTGGCGAAGCGGTTGGCCAGCTCGACGACGCCGTCGGCCTCGAGCGAGTAGCGCCGCATGAGCGACTTGATGAAGCCCAGGTTGCCGACGTAGGCCTGTTCCTTGGCTTGGAGGGGCACCTTGGCGAGGGCGGCGCGGATGATTTCTGCGGAGGGGTAGGTGGATGCTTTGGGGTGGTTGCTGAGAAAAGGGGGTTAGTGTCTGGTCTGTGTGTGTGGGGGGGAGGGGTTTGGGTTTGGGAGGGGGACGTACAAGGGACCGTTGTTCTTGATGGGGAAGGCCGGGTTGGCCCGGATGAACCACATCTCTTCGGGCGCGGTGATCATAACAGCCTCGCCGACCTTGCCCGCGCGGCCGGTGCGGCCGACGCGGTGGACATACTGCTCCTTCTCGCTGGGTACGCCGATCTGTACGACCAGGTTGATATCCGGGAAGTCCATGCCGCGGCCAACGACGTCGGACGCGAATAGCAGGCCGCGGTCCGTCTCCTTAAACTCCTCGACGGTGCGCGTCCGCTGCGGCTGCGACATGCGCGACTGCATCTGGAACACGGGCAGCTTCGGCGGCGCGGCCCCCCCCGTGTGGCCGAATACGTGGTACAGCAGGGCGGCGTGGCGCGCCGTCGGGCAGAAGATGATGGCCTTCAGGGACGGGTTGTCTGCACGCGCGCAGGCAAGCACCGAGTGCACGGTGGGCAGGATGTCGTCGACTGAGTCGACGGGGTAGACGGTCTGCGGGACGGTTTCCACTGTGGGAGCCTCGTTCTCATCAATAGTGGAGAGGCGCACGTGGTTCTTGGCCAGCACCATGGGCAGCATCTTCTGGATCTCCGGGGGGACGGTAGCGCTGAAGCACATGCCCTGCCAGTTGGCTTGGGCCTTGGGGGGGATCTGCTGCAGGATCTGGCGAAGCGCGGGTGCGAAGCCGGCGTCAAGCATGCGGTCGGCCTCGTCGAGCACGACGCAGCGGATCTTGGTCAGCTTTTGCCGCGCGGCATCCTCGCTCAGGTAGTCGATGAGGCGACCGGGGGTGGCGACCAGGATAGTGGGTTTGCCCTTCAAGAACTTGTCCATGTGCGTCTTGCGTTTGCTCCCGCCGACGGCGATGTGGCATTCCAGGGGCGGGTCGCAGGCGCTCGTCAGCTTGTCACATTCGTCGTTGATCTGCTGGGCCAGCTCACGGGTCGGAGCTAGCACCAGGAGACCAACAGACGACCTATCCAGGTCCTCGGCAGAAAGAAGATTCTGCAGTGCGGGCAGTAGAAAAGCGAGGGTTTTGCCGGTGCCAGTCTTGGCCTGCACGAGGCAGTCCTGTGTGAAGTAGGGCAGCTGCAAAACCTGTTCTTGCACGGGTGTCATGTGTGTGAAGCCATGGTTCTCGAGTGCCTTTAGTAGCTGCGGTTGCAGCCTGCCTTCGAGTTGCGCATAAGCAACACGGCTATCGTCGCTAGCCATTGTTGCTAGTGTGCGAGTGAGAATTGTTTTGAGTGCTTTGGGAGGGTTGCGATGGTTCTGCAGGCGAAACGGAAAATTTGCTGCGGTCCCTGAAAGGCGCGCCAGGGAAAGCATTGGTGCCTGACTAAGACACGCAGTTTTTGCGTTTGAGATGCTGACGGGAACAGCAGGCGCAGCTTTGTAATTCCGTCCGGACCTGTGAGGTGGTTGCAGAAAGAGGCAAGTTAACTGAAACTTCCTTTGAAATTTCAGCTTTGCGTCGCTGACCGCCAGCCGGGGGCCCCGGCCGCAGACGCTCATCGCAAGTGGGGCGAGACTTGGCTCGCGGGTTGAGCCGTCCAGGAGCGACTTCTTTCGATTCGCTGAGCAATAAAAAGATTCGGAGAGGACGCCACAACACTCGGCCCTGGCTGTCAACATAAAGACATTGCGATTTTTTTTCATCTTGAGGTGACTAATGTCAGACTAAACACCCGTCTAACCAATACTGGTTCAAGCTCAAAATTGATTTCTTACCGCCCATTGCCCCAATATCCGATGCTTGCAAATCAGAACTTCACCACTCTAATAGATGCTCTTCTTGTCAAGAAAGACTCGACAACACGCTTCAATGGAACTCCCCGATCCTCGGCCCAAAGTACTCACCTTCCGGAAGAACCTTTCGCACACAATCGCCGCTGCCATCACATCCCTCACTAACAATGGTGTTCCCCCACCACTTCAACTCAATCTCGAAGATCTGCAGCGCAAAGAAAATCACGATGCCGCTAAGCGCAATAGCGCAAGAAAATGCGGCCGATGTGACGAAATTGTACTTGAAACGGGTTACTTGCTTGTTGCCGCCGAGAAATCCTTCCAATGTGGATCTCACGTACCTTGGACCACAACCCCAAATACCGCTTCTTCAAGTACAGCCACGAAAATGCTGCGACAGGGACGGCGGGCCAGAGATAAGTCAGGTTGTACGGCGCCCAGGCCAGTGCCCCGCTGATCATGACGACGGGGTGTGCGTTCCGGATGATTGGGCTTTTGGGCCACTTCCTCCCCAGCATGTAAAAGAAGGCGACGAGTGCAACCCCGAACGGGAAACCGAGTAGCGTGACGGCATATTGCCCACCAGCGCCCCAGATCTTGCGGGGGCCGACCGTGCCCCAGAAGACGGCGGCCGTGAAGAACGTGTTGGGGCCTGGGCAGGTAAAACGAAACGGGGCATGGCGGGTGCAGATGTTCTCAATGTGGACTTGGTACTGCAGCACGCCGATGCTGATCAACGTCGACACCAATGTCGGAACCATCTGGGCCCAAAATGTAAAACGCGGCGGGATCTTGAGGTAATGGGCCAACTTCAAGTCCGCGCTGAAAGAGATCGCATGGGCACATGTGACGTAGCCGTAAGACTTGAAGAAGCACATGGCGATGGCGTTGCCCTCCACCGAGACGCCGCCAATAAACTCAGCCAACACATTCAACGTCACCTGCACGCCCGTCATGGCGGTGATGATGCCGATGGGGACGACAAAGACGAGACACAGAGCCACCCCGTACATCACTACAAAGGGTGTCGTGTTGGTCGGCCACACGGCGATGCCCACCATGCCCAGCGCGATGGCGATGGCCAGGCAGATCATGTACCACAGTTCTGGCACCTCTGGGTACGCACGCATCAGACGGTTGTGCACATCGAGCAGGTTGGCGTCCTCGGCAGCGTTCGTTGTGTCGCCGGTTGAGCCGCCCGGTTGGCGTCTGAGTCGTGCGCGCCACTGCTTCAAGGTTCTGCCGACGTCGCGGAACCCGAGCATGATCTCGTGGCGATGGTAAAGGATGCCGTATGTGACGGTGGCCGAGTACACGGCGAAAAAGAACATGTACACCACGATGTTGCCGGCGGCGAGGAACGGTGGGGAGTAGGCTTCGTACTTTTTGCCGTCAAAGATGCCCCTCTCATCAATGATGGAGCTGACGTTGTACAGCTGGCCAAAGTGGTCGAATGGCCGGTTCGAGTTGATGGGGAGGTATGCTGTGTTGAAGGCGTTGGTGTAGTAGACGCCGATGATGATGAACATGGAGAAGAACATGCCGAGGAAGAGGTTGAAGGTTGAAAAGAAGGGCACCATCAGAGGGTCGACGTTGAACGTCCACACATTCCAGTCAAAACTCGAAAATGGGTTTAGTCCGAGCCCGGTGGAACTCCCCGTGATGTTGGCGAGGTTGATGTTGGTTGGGGCAATCCAGGACATCCAACTAAAAAAGCTCAAGGCGCCAAAGATGTAATTGGGAAACCAGAAGTACACAAACATCAGCCCGAAGGCGCAGCAAAAGTACTTTAGACGCGATAGTTTCCAGATGGACTTGAAAGGGCCCGCTACTCTTGCCGCCTCGTTTGATGCGTCGTGAAAGGCCGAGTTGAGAGCAATGGTGACCAGGGAAGTTGGCCAGACGCAGTACGCTGGATAGACGAGGAACCGGCGACAAATCCCGGCCAAGCCGTAGCCGATGAAGTTGGTCGACAGGGCAATCAGTACTTGGTAGCCGACGCTGACAGCCCATGTCTGGTTGAAGAACTGCGGTAGTACCTGGATCCAAGCAATGTAGTTGGTGTATGGGACGCTCTTAGCCACATTCGACATGATGGTGATAAGCATGTGCTCTTTCTTGTTGAACGGGCCCGGGTTGAGACTGTGACGGACACCAAACAATGTGAAGCCAGCATCCGGAAGCATGCGCTCGAACAATTTGCCCATCGGGTAGGCTAAAAGCTGAGGAACGGTCGATATGACAATGATGCTCGGGAGGCGCACATCGAAAAAAGAGTTGACGAAGGAAATGCAACAAGCAAAGAAGGTTCCAATTATCCAGGCTCGGATGGTTGATACGGGCAAGGATGGGTCGTCATGGTTGTCGACAACGGACCGCACTTCGGCGTAAGGCGAGTTATTTGTGATGAGGGCGGCCTGGGTCTTCATGTCTTCAATGAGATGCTCGTGCTTCTCACGGCTGTTGAAGACGTCTTCATTGTCTGTTCTCGCCGCTTGTCAAACACCTTCCTGGACAAAAATCATCGGACGGGACGGGCACATACGGAGGAACTCGTCAATTTTCTCAATAATTCGAACGGGAAAATTGGGATCGCGAGAATGTTGTTTATGGACTTGCACCATCACTAGTGACGAGGGTCCGTGAGCACTCAGGCCGAGCTTTTGGGTATTCAGCCACCTACGCGCTTCGTGTCGTCGAGAGTGAACCATTCTGGCAGTCTCCTTGGCCTCGATGAAATCCCTCGAAGTGGCGTTGAGCAACTCGCTAGTTTTGCGTAGCTCTGCCGGCAGGTTCTCATCCGAGCTCGACGGCTTCCGTCATGTCCTTCGTTAGCTACATGTAAATTCCCAGAGACTGTAACCTGGTAAAGACCACAACCCCCGAACCACCAGACCACGGAAACAACGAATAGATCCAAGCATGCCAACATACCTCAAGATTATCGACCTGCCCTACACCAACGTCGCTGGTCTGACAAGTCACCGGGTCCTTTACCTCGATCTTCTCGGCTGGATCTGTCATGGTCGACACATGCAATGAAAAATTGGCAATCGGCAAGCTGTGCCAGAACTTCCAAAAAAACCGTGGTGATGGCTAGGGGTCAAGATTGCCGAGTTGGGAATAAAACGGTCAAGAGGACGAAAGAGCTACCGCTTGCAACCTGTGTACGGCGTTGCAGCGCGTGGCATGTGATGTCTCCGTGTTTAAGTGTTGCAACTTTTACCCATTAACCTTCGCTCGTCCGACCTTCGTCTCGAATGGCACTCGTTACATGCGGTACGATGACGGCCGGGCAGCGAATGTAAGGGTTGGGCACTTATTACAATCCATCGCGATTTCCCTGTCTCCAGGCGAAAAAAGCCTGGCCTGTCGCACGACATCGGCGCTCCTTCCTTTTGAGTTTCGATGGAAGTTTGGCAAGTGCGTGCGTCCTACCCTGCCCTTGCCACTTGTATTTTTCGAGTCTCGGCAATGCCCCTTTCTCTTACTAAGGCTGCGCTCATCAAAATAACGGTCAGTGTTTAGTACAGGACCAAGAGTACCAAGAGTACTAGTGCGTTCCGGTTGCTTCCATGCTTTCATCTCGGCTCCACATAAAATAAACCCAGTACTTTCTACATGACGATCAGCCAGTGACAACCACAGAAACCCTTGAGGAAACGAGGATAAAAATGCAGCTAACTACATGTGACTAGTTAACCTATTCAATGTCGACAAGCTTCGCTATCTGGCATTATCTGGCTGCACAACTGTCCAGTATTCGTACCTATCTAACAAGCTTTCGCTTGTCAACTTGGGCACTCAGGATACACCCGTGACCCGACCTGGCTACATGTAGGCGTCTCCAACCCTACCACGGTATCCGAGGACCTTACTACCTTTAAGTAACGTTTCGTCTGCGCAGATTGAGGTGACCAAGTTCAGGTACCTAAAATTGAACCGAAAATTCCTCATTGTGTACCCTCTTCAAGCATGAATGGTAGCAACATGGCGGGGGCAGCCCATTCAAGGGAATCCGATAAAGTATTGGTGCAACCTCTCTTGCACTGTTGGCTGTTGCACCTGGGCTGTATATCGATGCACACGACACCTTGATGTCGATCTCGGCCGTGGTATCTTGAAATCTGAGTTTGAGACCTGGTCTTTGCCACTTGATTTCACGCTAACCCAATGCGGCACTGCAGACCGAAGCGCGCGGGAACCGTTTCGGGCTAACAATGATCAAGGTGCAACACTCGTTATTTGGATACGAAGTACGAATTGCGGTATTACCTCAGGCTGTGTCATCATCTAGGGCACCCATCCAAGGACTCGATAGGCCTTGGCTAAGAAACGGCGAAGAAACGGCGGGCTGGAGAAGGACTGGGCGAGGACATGGGCATGGGCATGGTAAGGAATGGACCGGTCACCGACTCACCGAATGGATTACGGTTGACTTCTCAGTCACCATCCAGAGGTTCCTGGTTGTAAAGAGGTAAACAGTTTTATCACCGACTCCCGTCTCCTTTTACACTTCAATATCTACTTACTTATTACTGCAACCCGGTAGAAGCATTCAAGGTCAATGAGATTGTAAAAGACCATGAAGCCGCCAAACTATGATGGTTGGCTTCATATTCACCGCTTTCTTTCTTTCAACGAGGATGAGTTGGAGATGCCGGATGCGGGGAATCTGGGAGCAACGACAAAGGCAATTGCACCGATATTTGTGCGTGCTTTATGTGGTCACGATTTTTAAAACCACAATTGAAAGGAAGTGAGAGAGCTGGTATTTGGCCTTATCAACCCGAACTACCAGCTTCCAACAGTACAAAATCATACAAGATATCCAGCCGACTGAGTCTCAACTTGACCTAATTGCCACGAGAAGCCTACCATGGCCCCCACTCCAAAATACGTTCTGGATATGGTTGCTGAGTTCGGAGACTGGCCAACTCCACCGGAAACAAAACTGCTGGACCTACCGGACCACCGAAGCTTCATGTTCGGACCCCTTACTGATAACGACCTGCACGACGCAACGGACGAGCAGTATGACTTCGAGATCACGAAGATGGATTCCGCGAGCCGCGAGTTCCTCAAACAAACATACACGCGCATAACTCACCGGGACCTCGATCTAGATGTTGAGTTCGAGGATGAGATGCTGAAAGGTTGGCAGCATTGCCATAATGGTCTGTGGAAAGTCCGGGAACAGGAGTGGCTAGATGACGAACACATCCATCACCTCGCCGAGCGCCTTATTACCTGGTGTCAGGGTCAAGAACTAGCACGCCTGGGCAACCGTAACTCGGGGGACTGGTGGATCATCCCCGATGCCTATCACCTCCGCCTGGCGGGAGATGAAGAGTCACCACCTCTGGGCCATTTCCTCGACGAGGATCCGGAGGAGTACATCAAACTTCACGACAAATTCGACACGGCCAAGTTCACTGTGCACATGGTGCATCATGTGAATCATTGGGCCGTACTCATCTACCAAGCCTCGAACGGCAACACCTTCTACATTGATTCTATGATCCATGAACGGGATGATCGCAGCCGCCTAACCCTCGAAAGATTCAAGGAATGGCTGGAGGCGTCAGACAAGGCCATACGTCCAAGAGCGCGACATGTTACAGTGAAAGTCCCCAGCCAAGAGGACGCTTGGAGCTGTGGACTGCATGCCGTGGTGAATGCAATGGCATTTCTCCGATACGAGTCACTAGGTTGGGACAAGATTGAAGGCTGGACGACGATGGAGTCGAGGCCGATGCGCAGAGAACTCATCGCCTGTTTGCACCGGCTCATGGGGCTCGACTACATCCCCGGCGAGTCACCCACCGCGCCCCGAGTGAGAGATCACCGACAACCGAGGCCGAAGAGGGCGGCAGCAAAACAGTCCGCGGCCAAGCACTCGGCAAAAAAGCCCTCGCTCAAAACGTCAGCCAAGAAGTCTACGAACAAGAAGGCGGCTACAACAGGTTCTATCCCCAAGGGGTCGCCAAAGAAGCCTTCCCCCAAGACGCCGGCAAAGGAATCTCCGGCGGAAACGGCCACGAAAGGGTTTTCCCCCAAAGCAGCACCACAAGAGTCCACCACCAGGGCGACTCGCCAGGCCAGAAATACTTCATCGCCGCCCTTCGGAGTTCGCGGTGTCCCCTTGGGCCGTGAACTGGTCAACGCAACCCACGCCGAAGCCCAAGTAGCCGCCCTCGCTACCGCCACCCGCCTGGCCGCCTGCCTGCAGCGGCAGCAGCAAGAATCCAAAGAGAAAGTCGCCCGCCAGGCCCTCCGGAAACAGGAGTCAGACAAGAAAGCTGCACGCCAGGCCACCAGGGTCAAACAACGGGACGCATGGGCAGCCGACGCCGCCAAGGTCGGCAAAAAGCCTGTCGGTGGAAGACGCGGCGCCATCAGCCAGGAACCTGTGCCCACCGCGGCCCACCTGCAGCAGAAACAGGAGGAGGACGCAACCAGCGGCACCTCCCGCAGGAAGCGCAAGATCGACAGCGCCCCGGGCCTCATCGATAGCACCCCTGTCTCCAGCAAGCGAAGCAGACCCTCGCGCAAGTCCGGTCCCACCGCCACCACCACCGCAGCCACAACCACACCAACAAAGCCCAAATCCCCATCAAAAACCAAGACCCCATCCTCCCCGCCCGCATCCAAACGCCGCAGCGCGCGCTCCAACCCAGCCACAACCACAACCACAACCACAACCCCAACCCCCACCGCAACCGCAACCGCAACCGCAACCGCAACCGCAATCACAACCACACCATCCGCGCGAGGCGCACGAGCTTCGAAGCCCACGATCCGCCCCGACACCAAAATCAACAGCAGCGGTACGGTCGCCGGTGGGGTCCCAGGGGAAACGTGTGTCGGGTGGATTTAAAGCGAAGGGCTGGGTGTGGAAGGGGAGGAAGGGTGGGGAAG